ATTGTGAAATTCATGGCCCCAGGGTCAGGGGTTCTGGTGTTAGGGCGGGGCTCTATTGATTATATAGTGAAAATGCATTAATTCTTTGAAAATCTTCTTCTCTGCTTCTGGATATTTAATAAAGTAACTAAGTACATAGTTATGATGAGCAAGAGTGCCTCTTTCAAAATTGTGAATTTCATGGTCCCAGGGTCAGGGGTTCTGGTGTTAGGGCGGGGCTCTATCGACTATATAGTGAAAATGCATTAATTCTTTGAAAATTTCTCCTCTGCTCCTGGGCATTAAGGTGATAAACTAAGTACATAGTTATGATGAGGAGGTGGGCCTCTTCCAGAATTGTGAAAGCCATGGCCCCTGGGTCAGGGGTTCTGGTGTTAGGGCAGGGCTCTATTGATTATATAGTGAAAATGCTTTAATTCTTTGAAAATCTTCTTCTCTGCTCCTGGGTATTATTTAAACGAACTAAGTGCATGGTTATGATGCATAAGGATGCCTTTTCCAAAATTGTGAAGTTCATGGCCCCAGGGTCAGGGGTTCTGGTGTTAGGGTGGGGCTCTATTGATTATATAGTGAAAATGCATTGATTCTTTGAAAATCTTCTCTGCTACTGGAGATTATTTTAACAAACTAAGTGCATGATTATGATAGACAAGGATGTCTCTTCCAAAATTTTTAAATATATCGCCTCAGTTTTGGGGGTTCTTGAGGAGGGGGGGGGGGGGGGCTCTATTGATTATATAGTGAAAAAGCATTAATTCTATTAATTAATCATTAATTAATCCTGTCGGCTCCTTAGTGTTGAGCTGATAAATAAATTGCTTAGCTATAATAAAAATGGGAGCTTCGAACAGAATTTTTAGGTCACCTGAGTCACTCAGGTGACCTATTGCTATCCGTTTTTGTCCGTCGTCGTGCGATGTGCGTTAACATTTGAACATTTTTAGCTTCTTCTCTGAAACACCGCTCAACCAATTTCAACTAAATTTGGCATATAGCATCTATGGGTGAAGGGGAACAAAAATTGTGAATTTCATGGTCCCTGCCCCCCTGGGGCCTGAGGGGTGGGGCTTAAACCACCAAAATTAATGCAATCTTTAAAAATCTTCTTCTTTACTCCTAGACATCAAGCAGTCAAACTGTTGGCATCATTGTGATAAGCATTGAGTCCTCTACCAAAATTGTGAAATTCATGGCCCCAGGGTCAGGGGTTCTGGTGCTAGGGCGGGGCTATATAGATCATATAGTGAAAGTGCATTATTTCTTTGAAAATCTTCTTCTCTGCTCCTGGGTATTAAATAAACTAACTAAGTATATAGTTATGATGAGTAAGAGTGACTCTTCCAAAATTGTGAAATTCATGGCCCCAGGGGCAGGGGTTCTGGTGTTAGGGTGGGGCTCTATTGATTATATAGTGAAAATGCATTAATTCATTGAAAATCTTCTTCTCTGCTCCTGGGTATTAAATAAACTAACTAAGTATATAGTTATAATGAGTAAGAGTGCCTCTTTCAAAATTGTGAAATTCATGGCCCCTGGGTCAGGGGTTCTGGTGTTAGGGCGGGGCTCTATTGATTATTTAGTGAAAATGCATTAATCCTTTGAAAATCTTCTTCTCTGCTCCTGGGTATTAAATTCAGTAACTAAGTACATAGTTATGATGAGCAAGAGTGCCTCTTTCAAAATTGTGAATTTTATGGCCCCTGGGTCAGGGGTTCTGGTGTTAGGGTGGGGCTCTATTGATTATATAGTGAAAATGCATTAATCCTTTGAAAATCTTCTTCTCTACTCCTGGGTATTATTGAAACATATTAAATACATAGTTATGATAATCAAGGATGCCTCTTTCAAAATTGTGAAATTCGTGGCCCCTGGATCAGAGGTTCTGGTGTTAGGGCGGGGCTCTATTGATTATAAAGTGAAAATGTTTTAATTCTTTAAAAATCTTTTTCTCTGCACCTGGGTATTATTTAAACAAACTAAGTACATTGTTATGATAAGCAAGGATGCCTCTTCCAAAATTGTGAAATTCATGGCCCTGGGGACAGGAGTTCTGGTGCTAGGGCGGGGCTATATAGATCCTATAGTGAAGGTGAATTATTTCTTTGAAAATCTTCTCTGCCCCTGGGTATTGCTTAAACAGGCTAAAGTACATTGTTATTATACACAAGGATGCCTCTTCCCAAAATTGTGGATTTTATGACCCCAGGTTTAAGGGTTCTGGTGAAGGGGGGGGGGGGGGCTTCTATTGATTATAAAGTGAAAAAGCAAAATTTCTTTGAAAATATTCTTTTCTTCTTCTAGTTAAAAAAGCAAAGAAGCTAAGTGTATAGTTATGATGAGCAAGTGTGCTTCTTCCAGAGGAGTGAATTTCATGACCCCTGGGTCAGATGTGCTGGTGTGAGGGTGGGGCTCTTGATAATTTAGTGAAAATGCATTAATTCTATTAAATAATCCTGTTTGCTCCTTAGTGTTAAGCAGATAAACAAAGTGATGATGAGCAAACATATGGTCCCAGGGTCAGAAGCTCTGGTGTTTTGGGGTTGGGGGGTTGGGGGGGGCTCTATTGATAATATAGTGAATCTGTAGTAAAAATGCATTATTTATTTAAAAATCTTCTCCGCACCTGGGCATATCTGAGGCAAACAGAGTAAAAGTTTTTATAAGGAAGGGAATTTTTACCAGATTTTTGAACATCTGGACCATTTGGTCAAGTGTTCTGGTCCTGGCCAGGGCTCTATTAGTTTGTATTCTACTGAGAGGAGTTATTCCCCTTTACCATATACTTTTGATAATTTATCACTGTAAATAATGTACTTGAAAGGTAAATAGAATAAGAGAATTTTGCAAAAACTTTTATTGTATAATACAAAAAGTACTTTCATAGTTTTAATGATCAGATAGACTTGTAAGTAGTAGATAAATAAAAATGAGACAAAAATAACTTGTCTTATTAAATATTCATCAAAGACCAAGAGATGCCAATGTAAGAGATTTCAACAAGGGATTAAAATAGTACAGAAGCATTGATAATTTGTTAATATACTGTATGGTGATAGTGATAAATGGGGAACAGATTAGAATCTAATTTATGAACTGTTAATGAATATTAAGACCAATTATTTTGTTGATCATAATCACCCTATTTTTCTTGCTTTTGGGCAACAAAGCTTCACCTTTCAGTTCATTTTATAAACTATGCATCCTTGAAATTGTTGTATCATACTCAGGTGACCGTTAAGGCCCTTGGGCCTCTTGTTAAATCTTGTGGTCCTTGGGTCAGGGGTTCTGGCATAACAGGGGGGGGGGGGCTTTTGATAATATAGTGGAAAAGTGTTAATTCTTTGAAGTCCATAGTAATGATGATGAGGGTAACTCTTCCAAATTTGTAAATTTCTTGACCCTTGGTCTTGGGTTCTGGTGTTAGGGTAAGGCTTTGTTGAATCTGTAGTGAAAATGCATTGTACCTGTGAAATTCTTCTCTGCTTCTGGGCATATCGGAAGCAAACTGAGTAAAAGTTTAAATGATATGAGTAAGCGTATATCTACCAGATTTTTAAACATCTGAACCATTTGTCTAAGCATTCTGGTCCTGGGCAGGGCTCTATTAATTTGTATTCTACTGAGAGAAGTTATTCCCCTTTTCCATTCACCTTTGATAATTAATCACTGTAAATAATGTATTTGAAAGGTTAATAGAACAAGATAATTATGCAAGAATGTTTATTGTATAATTAAAAAAGTACTTTCTTAGTTTTAATAATCAGGTAGACCTGTAAGTAATAGATAAATAAAAATGAGACAAAAATAACTTATCTTATTAAAAGTTCTTCAAAGACCATAAGAGAGGTCAATGCTAGAGGTCTTAATATGGGTTTATAAATAGTACAGAAGCACTAATAGTTTGTTAATAGGCTGCATGGTGATTAGTGTTAAGTGGGGGACAGATTAGAACTCAATTTCTGAGTTGATAGTGAATACTAGACTAATTATTTAGTTGATCCTGATCTTCCTACTTCTCTTGTTTTTGTTCCTCTGCTCTGCCTCTGGGTATTAAGTAATCAAAGTAAGCATGCTAACCGTATAGTTATGATGAGCAATAGTGCCTCTTTCAAAATTGTGAATTACATGGCCTCTGGTTTAAAATACGAACCAAATTCAATTGTTGGAAAGTTGTTACACAATACTCAGGTGACCTATAAGGTCCGTGGGCCTCTTGTTAATTCTCAGTGGCAGTCTACTCAACATGTAAACATTGACTGATTATTCACTAACAACAAAGCAAGTGTCTGTCTGCTTTATGTTGCAATTGCTTTGAAAATTTCACAACTTACGTAATTGATAAACTTATTAAATTATTATATAGACAATATTACAATGGACAATACTTTTTGTATTTTCTGAAAACAATTATACCCACCTTGTTTACTATAGGTTTTGGATCCGTTCCTCATGTAGAATCATGTAGCTTCCGGCATGTTCATTTCATGTACAATTTGTCAAGTTGGCTAAATAACAAGTATGTACATGAAAAGTAGCATGATTGTCACTAAAATTGCATTAGAAGCATTGACTATATAAATTATTTTGTTCATCGAGAAATGAATCTAAAGAAAGAATCGCACACATTTTTATGAAAGCTTTTGGATTTCATAAAGTGCATATTTTTTTTGTCAATATAAAATGTAAAGAAAAAAATCTATTATTTGAAAGTATTGTCAATCCGAGTATTCACCAATTAACCACATTAACTGGAAAAAAAAAGAACTCTTAACTGCATGATTTGAATGACATTTGCCAGTGAATCAAGTTCATTTTTACATGTAACAAAAATTTTCCCTTACCTTTTATTGGAGAGTAATGATCTATCTGAGTTTTTTTATAGGTTTATATTTAGAAAGACCTGGTCTATCCGCATTAATATATTCTGACGTGATATCAAATGAACCATTGATAAAACTCATTACAATGTATAAAAATAATATAAAATATATATATTTTAGTCTCATCTTCTGGGTGTCTTTGAAAATGTCAATGAAGTTGAATTTCATGAGAAGGATTATGACAGAATGCTGTCTGTGATATCAAGAGAGGGCGAAAAAGTAATGGTAAGTTCTTACAATAGCTGTTTTTGGAAAAGATTGCCAGATGGTCCCATACATGGATGTATGAATAAGAATAGATCTTTAAAATTTTGGCCAAAATAATACTGATATAAAGGACAGATGATACAAACTGAGAGCTAGGTTCACTTTATCCATAAAATGGCCCAGTCCATATACCAACTAACTAACCAAGTCCCGTTTCAAACATCAATATAAACTAGAGACTTAGTGCTTTCATTACCTATGAAAAAGTTCTCTCTGAGAGTACAGGTATTATAAAACAGGCTTTGTGAAATTGCACCATTTTTGATTCTCTTAGAAAATGGGTGTATTTGAGTTCAGCAAAGAATTAAAATATGAGCCCACCCCTTGATCCAAAAAATAAAACATGGATCATAATCTGAAATAATTCGTACATTATTTTATTGATCATTTTGGATCAGAGTTTGGGGTCTATGCAAAGTCCTGAAGAACAGCTTAAAGTTTTGGCCATTTTTTGAAGAAAATGACCTGATAGGCTAAGACCCCTTTTTGGCTCCTGATTTGGGTGTCTTTTAGAATCATACAACAGTTAATCAATAAAAACCTGTTGTTACCCCCATCATAAAATAAGTATTGGTTCTTAGTTATGGGATACACAGAGGTCACAGGAAGGTCAGAAAATATGTCAATTTCCAAATTTTCTCCTTTTTATGCAAGTTTTCATCAGCACATTTTGTTTCAGAAAACAGAGACAACAAGCTTCATGCCTATCTACCAAATTTATATATTTCATACAGTAGTATCAGGTGCATCTAGTGTATAAAAATCTCAAATAGGCAAGCTTGTGCTCTATGTTTTCTGAAGTGAAAATATCTCAAATTTGACAAAATTCCACCAGAATTTAGGAAATTTGAGAAAATGTCCTACTTTCTGCACCCTCTTGTAGCCTCGTGTATTTTTGAATTTTGAATCAAAATTAGTGCTGGTTTTAAAACCAGCATCATTTTAAGTTCTTTACTACAAACTATCACAGTTTTAACTGCGCTCTGATTTTTACATCAAATAAGGGGCCAAATTCGGCTGTTACCATACCTTGTCCTTTAAAGATTTCAGAATAATGTCGTAATTTATTACATCATAATATATGGACTAGCAAGAAAATTACCTCATTTTTAATAGATATGCAGCTAAGTGTCGAACTGAAATTTAATGTACATGTATATTCAGCTAAAACTGAGCAGTTTTGATTTTTCAGAAATTTACAGGGCCAAAAAAGGTGCTTATTTCTTTTCTTCAGAGGTCATGAAAATAACAACTAAAGCCATGTTTATATATTGAGGAAAATGAATATAAAGTTTAGTGCATAGATTTTAGTTTTTCATTCAAATTTTCATGATAATATCCTTTAGAGACTAAAAATTGAATAGATTTATAAGGATGACACCGACAGCAAAAAGGTAGAATCTTGAACATCCTTGAAAGTTTACAATCTTCTTAAAATTTTAGAAATTTGATATTATTATCATTTACAACCAGATAAGGTTCAAAAATATATATCAATCTAGGCATCAATTTTTAGCTCTTCTGAGCCAAAGGTTCAAAGAGCTAATGCTATGGCCATTTGTGCGGTGTGCATAAACTTTTTAGAATATTGGCATTAACTCAAGAACCCCTTGGCCAATTATTGTCAAATTTGTCACAGGGTATCCTTGGCCCAAGGGTTCCCGTTTATACTAAAACTAGGGTTGTGACCCTTTAACAAGGGAGATATTTAGGAAAATAGAAACAAAAGTACTGGTTGCTAAATAATCTTCTTCTCTAGTACCACTGGGCAGATTATCACCAAAATTACATAAAAGGATGAGGATTTACCCTGGGGCAAAGGGCGTGATCTCAAGGTCACTTCAAAGTTGACCAAAATTTACATTTTATTAAAATGTTGATATTTTGCTTACCATGAGGACTAGGATCATCAAATCTTGTCAGTTGATGCATCCAAGGACCTCATATCATGTTGAAAGGAGGTCAGGGCGACCTACTTTTTAAATTTTGGGTCTGTTCTTTTTCATATTGATTTAGAGGCATAATTTGGACATTTTAAGGCCTATGATTATAAAACTTTGTAAGTTGATGCATCTTGGATCCTCAAAAAATGTCAACTAAAAAGTAGGTCACCGTGACCTACTTTTGAAAAATTATGGCTTTAATTAAATATTTCAGGTACTAACTGGCTTAGAATCATCAAACTTTGTCAGTTGATGCATCTTGAGTCCTCGGAGTACAACATCTGAAAAGAAGGACACCATGACCTACTTTTGAAAATTTATGGCTTTAATTAAATATTTCGGTTCTAATTGGCTAATTGGTTTAGAATCATCAAACTTTTTCAGTTGATGCATCTTGGGTCCTCTGAGTAGGTTGACTGAAAAGTAGGTCACCGTGACCTACTTTTGAAAATTTATGGCTTTAGTTAAACATTTCAGGAACTAATTGGCTGAGAATCATCAAACTTTGTCAGTTGATGCATCTTGGATCCTCAAAGTATGTCATCTGAAAAGTAGGTCACTGTGACCTACTTTTGAAATTTTATGGTTATAATTTTAAAAATATTTTAGATATTAATTGGCTTAGACTCATCAAACTTAGTTGATGCATCTTGGGTCCTCATAGAATGACAAGTGACAAGTAGGTCACCATGACCAACCCTCAAATACTAATTGGCTTGGAATCATTTTGGGTTCCCAGAGTGTTCCATCTAAAAGGTAGGTCTTGATGACCTACCTTTGGAATTTTAAGGGTTTATCTAACTATACAGGATACTTAGAGGCTTCAAATAGAAGTGATAGGTTGTACAGTTAATCAGAAGAGTGATTTAAGGCCCTTGGGCCTCTTGTTTTTGTTTGTATCATCTGTCCTTAACATGCAAGCATAGGTTTAAGCTTGTTCCAGTATGTACCTCAGGAGTAAGTTGGGGCCACAATAGGAGATGAGAGGAATATGTAGAAAATACCTAAAAAAAATCTTGTGAACAAAAAAATTAAACTATTATGCAAGCATCCTTGGGTAGTTAAAATTAATTGTTCAAATCAGAACTCAAGGGAGGGACATCAGTAGGGGATCAAATTTTTTAAGAGAAATGTATAAGAAAAAAAATCCTCTACTTAAAAAGAGCAGGCCCACAGTTACTCATAATAATATGCAAGGGTTCTAATGGTAGTGCAGGTTCCAATTTTGTTCCAGGTATGGCCCCTGGGGCTAAAATAGGGATTCAAGAGTTTAAATTGGAATATAAAATTCAAGAGTTTAAATTGGAATATAGCATTTTTTTTTAAAGAATCTTTTGAAGAGGAACAGAGCAACATTAAATCACATTGATGTGCATGCAATCATTCCCAAGTCAAATGGATTCATTTTTTTTTTTATTATAGACCCAGAGGAAGGGTGAGGCTAAAATTGAGGGTCAAATTTTACATCATTGATTGTTTGTTTGTATGTTGTTTAACGTCCCTCTCGAGAATTTTTCACTCATATGGAGACGCCACCACTTGCTGGTGGAGAGCTGCAAATTTTGTCCTATGCTCAGCACTCAGGGCCATTGAGCAGTGAGGGATCTTTTTCATGCCAGCACCTACTGCGACACGGGACCTCAGTTTATACGGTCTCATCTGAAGGACCGGTCTACACATCCCACAGTGGAATTCAAACCCGCGACGTAAGGATCAAGTCCTTACTTTGTGACTCTAGAGCAGACGCTCTAACCACTGTGCCACGCAGGCGACTTACATCCTTGATGAAAAAATCAAAATCAGTAAGGCCACATTAGTTATAAAATTCTGCACCCCTCATTTAGTGTTGATTTAAGTTTTGTTAAGTTAGGACCCATTAAGGCTATGTTGGGTTCACAATATGGGTTTAAAATTTTTCATTGGAACAGGGAAGGGGGGGGGGGGTTAAATCTTCTGAAGAACAGCAGGGCCAGGATGACTCTTATGAGTGTTGCCCATGAGCCTTTTGTTTGAGATGGTAATCAAAGTGCAGCTGGAAACTTTAATCGTAAAGTTAATTGGGGACATGATATAAAATTTAATGCATTGATTTTGTTTTAGCTTGAATCACCAGTCAATGCAAAAGGAAATGTAGAGATATGGCTTGGAGATTTGCTGAAAGAGCAAATGAAATCTCTTCATGGAGTAATACGTGATGCGTGGAGAAACATCATTACACCAGAATTTGAATTGATGGGCTTCATGGCAAATTTTCCTGCACAGGTAAATTGTTCAAGAAATGAGTGCATCTAAGGATTATACATAGTTACTTGTATTCAAGTAATCTTATACAAATATTGACTGGGGTTGAGGGCAATATAATACATTTACAGTAATCTTCTTATATAATTTTGATTACGTTAGCCCCCTCAGGATGAAATATTGCCCGATGCGGAGAAAAAGGCAATATTTTCATCTGGAGGGGGCTAAGATAATCAACATTGCCTCAAAGCAACAAAACAAATCGATAAAATAGATTTTGATTCATTCATTAAAATTCAGCAACTTATTAATATTTGTATTCAGTGTATTTATCTGCACCTTGATTGTGGTGCTAGTGAATCTTCATGTTGCCATGATTGTGTTACTTGTTTTTTCGATGACATTATATAAATGGTGGCTGTTTTGGAGGGTAACAGTTGAAATTCAGACACCCCAAGGAAAACCATTGTCAACTGACGCGACAATAAAAAATTGGGTTGGTAGGAAAGATTCTTTTTTATTTTTATGCCCCATCATTGTCATGTCCGTCTTCTGTTCATACCTCTGTACATCCATTACTCTTTACATTTAGCTCATTTTCAATGAAACGATTCAAGATATTTTAACCAAATTTCATAAACTGATATATATATTGGTGAGAACTATTCAACTGTGAATAATTTTTTGACTTTGACCTTCCCTGTGACCTTGACCGCACCATTCCCTATCTTGTATTTAGCTTGGATTCAGAGCAACTATTCAATATGTTTTTATCAAAACTAGTTCACTTGTACACATTAGTGGGAGCTATATTGCAACTCTTGTAATTTTCTGGCCTTGACCTTCCCTATGAATTTGACCTCACTATTACTTACTGTGCATTTAGCACAAGAAACTATTCATAATATTTTCATCAAAACTCATGCACTGATACATATTGGTGGGGAATGTTCAATTGTGTCATAATTTTCTGACTTGACTTTTCCTGTGAAATTGATCCCATTATTTATCGAAGTTATAAGAAACTGTTCAAGATACTTTCATCAATTTTCATACAAAGATACAAATTGATATGAGCAGCACAACTGTGTCATATTTTCTGATCTTGACCTTTCTTATGACACTGACCCAACTATTCCTCATTAGCTCTACTGGTCAGAGACTAGAAGAGCTTATGAGATATTAAAAGGTGTCTGTCGTCTGTCCATCTGTAAACAATTCTTCAAAATGCTACTCCTACAGTTTTGGTCTGATTTCAATATAAGTTGGCACACAAGTAGACTACACTAAGATACATCATTCTCTTTATCAGTTTTTTATTTTGATGAAAATTGTTGCCATGTTACTAAATACTGTATACAGGGTTATTTTCGCCCCGTGTTATTTTCGCCCATTCACACTTGCAAGCAATTTTGCCCCGTTTTAAATTCACCCAGTCACAGTTCTGTTTAAGAAATTAAACCGTGTTCTTTGAATTTGCCCCGTTTTAAATTCGCCCACCTGTGAGTACAGTAGTTACTAAAAGTGAAAATTTCTTTGATTTACTTTCAAAATACTACTCCTCCTACAGTTTTTGTCTGATTTCAATATAACTTGGCACATAAGTAGACTCCACTAAAGTAAATAATTCTGATTATCAGTTTCTGATTTCAAAGCCATGGTTACTAAAAATAGTAATATCTGTAAATTACTTTTAAAATGCTACTCCTTCATGCCACAATTTTTTTAATTATTTTTGTATGATAATATATTTATCAACATATCATACAGGTTGGACTGCTGGGGATTCAGATGATTTGGACAAAGGATGCTGAATTTGCTTTGCAGCATGCAAGAGGTGACAAAAAGATTATGCCAACCACAAATCAGCGCTTCCTGGATATGTTAAATCGCTTGATTGAACAAACTACACATGATTTGACCAAGGTGGAAAGAGTTAAATATGAAACTCTTGTAACCATCCATGTGCATCAGCGAGACATATTTGATGACCTGGTATTTCTTGATACTTATTTGAGATACATGAATTAATATTTATTTTCCAGAGTTTTTTTCTTGATATGCCATTATTCTGGCTGTCTTCAGCTTCATATGTCTTTATTTCAGACAAGAATGCACATAAAATCCCCTACAGATTTTGAATGGTTGAAACAGGCTCGGTTCTATTTTAAAGAAGACACGGATCAGTGTATTGTGCAAATAACAGATGTGGATTTCATTTATCAAAACGAGTTTCTTGGATGCACAGACAGACTTGTTATCACACCACTTACTGATAGGTATGTCATGCCCCTAAACCACCCAGTATGCTATACATCTACACCACTCATAGAAATGTAGTCTACTTCAAATATATTGAAATTCAAGGGACCAAGACATTTTCTCAATATAACCGAAGTTCAAATTAAGCGAAATTGACCAATAAATCTGTTTTAAAATCCTTATCCCTATCTAAAAAATGTAGACAAATCAGAAGCAGAATTAAACAGTTGAATTTACAATAGTGAATAATAGTGAAATGAAAAAGTTGGTTCATTAAAGATTTAGTCGGAAAAAAAAGTCCTTCATTTTTCAGCCTTTGTACATGTACAATTTCCTGACCTTATTCTTTATCAGTTTGGGGAAAAGTCACCATGCACTCGAAGGATTCAAAAAAAGTGTGTTGCTTATTATACATGCATATAATTGCAAGTGTTTGCTCAGATTTATCCCAAAACTCTTCTCTTATTTAATTAAGATTTCACAGACAGATCTGTTAATTAATATCTATATTAATTTGTTTTAGTTATCTAAAGACAATATTTTTCTTTCATATTGGTATACCCATTTACACAAGCTTGTGTTCAATCAGCTGTTCAAAAGTGCCATCAGTATGTGATCTGAAGGCTTATTCCCCAAACGGCTACTCGCCAAAATCAACATCTAATTATCACACCCAATTAAGGGGCCCTCTAAGGGGTACAGGTAAACTTACCTGTATGAATAAATTACCTGAATTTCAATGCATATAAACGGAACAATATATCAGGTCATTTTTAGTTCAATATATCCTGTAAATTTTTTTTTTAAATTTTTCATTTTTTTAAAAATTTATTTATCTATTTTACTTTATTTATTTCTTTCTTTTTTCTTCTGTTAAATAATTTCTATTTCTATCTAAGGTTATACAGTTAAGGTTATACCCTCACAATTTTGGGGTTTCTAAGTAGAAAAACTGCATTTATTTTCACTGAATATAGTTTAAATTAATAAATAATTGCAAAAGATATATAAATTGCCATATTTTTTCTAAGATGTAAGACATAAAAAACAAAAGTGTATGTTCAGCATTAAAAAATCATACATTTTTAGTAAACATTATAAAAAATTATATTAAAACTGGTTCGAATGGATAATTCGGATGCTGAAAGTTCCAAATTAATTGGTTTAAACATATTTTATTGTCTATAAACTTTACAACTGGGATTGGGCAAAAGTTCTTAAAACTTAATACGCCCTCTCCCTACATATGAGTTATACCAAACATATTTACATATATGGGTTTCAGCTTCAAATGAATAAAACACAGAAAAGCATAATTGTCAAAGGAACATTATACAATACACAAGCTGTATAGGATTTGCAAGAAGTAATTATTGCATCAACCAAAAATATTTTTTCCTTTCGCCTATTGCAAAGCATTCTTCCAAAAGATGTATTTCTACTGGGTAAAGTGGAAATACCTTGACAAGTAATAACTTCCAGGCACGAAGTTTCAGGGGGGGGCAGGGGGTTGTCCCCAACTTTTTTCAAACATAACAATATACTAACACACTTTTTTCTTGTGGCAGTTAAGTCATGGAGATTAGGTAATGTATTTTTTTTTTTAAAGTTGGACCCCCACTTCATGTTAAAAAAAATTCCCATCAGTAGTATTTAACAGTACTTTATTTTTTAAGACATTGCCACTAAATAATAACATTAAATGTATGTCTTATTAGTTTTAGATCACAATATCAAAGAAAACATTTTAATTCTGCATTTATTTAAAATATTACCCATTAACTTTCTGACATTCTCTCCCTCTCTCTTTCTCTCTCAAGAGAGTTGTTACATTGAAATTCCATTATAGTGTGTAAGAAAAAAATGTATATACCAGCCATTCCAGGATTTGAATCCATTCTCAGTTAAAAAAAAAAAAAAAAAAAAAAGAATCTTCGTATAGAGGCCACACGCTTAACCACTAGACCAGCTCCAACACTGAAGTATAGAGTGCTATTTTATGCACACACTTTTCATTTCGGGTGGATAATAATTTTTCTTAGTTTTTTGTGATTTTCAAAAATATGCTTCTTTGAAACAAAAATTGGAAATGGCAGTTTTGAAGAAAATTTCTGTCTCTTTATGCATATATCAAATTCATTTTGTTTCAAGGAGGCAGTTTTTCAGAACAATGGGGATTCCCTATTTGAAAAACAGAAAACTTGACTTATTTTGCTATGTGACTAATTTACACTTCTTTTAAAGGCAAAGAACAAGGTACGGTTTCAATACAAATCTTGCCCTGTGTTTTTCTTAAAAATAAAAGTGATGTAAAAAATTAAAACTCATGCTTTTTGAATTATTGAAATTCCATGCAGAAAGATCATACAAATCTTTTTTCTCACATGACCTTCCAAATGCTAATTGTGACGTCATAAACTTGTGCATTTTCCCGTATTTTCTTAAAAAGTTGCAGAAGACATCAATTTTCAATGGAATTTTCTTTCAGATAATATTGTCCACAGGCATCGCCCACAAAGATTTTGAGATATGTGATTTTTGAAAGAATTTTACGCAACATATCTAAGAATTAACGTGGGCGACGTTGACGGCTGTGGACACTATTTTCTTAAGGAAAATAACCCTTGAAATGGGTCATTTTGAGGCTTTTTCTGTTTAATATAGAGAAATACATCAAATTAATGACATCATATATCCAGAATGGTACTCCATCATGCTATATTCTTTCCTGATTTATTACAGTCATATACTCAACTAATATTTAAGCCAGTTTCAAAACTTTTTGAAAACATTAAATTTTTAGGGCACAATAAAGCTAAAACCATACCTTCTTCTTGGTAGTTGATATGCATTTTGCAAATATTGTTCTACATTGTGCTGTATATACTGTTGTATCTGAAAAAAATTAAGACCGTTTTCTGTTACTTAAAAATTTTCTTTTAAACTGCTACATCTTTAGGGGAAAAAACACCCTCTTTTTTCATTTAAATTTATTTATTAAATCTGGGGGGGGGGGGTGAATATTTTTCTAATGGAAAAAAAAAATGAAATTTCATATTTTTATTTGATTTATCAAATATTGGTTATCCAGGTAAACAGGCAAATCTACAAGTACCCCTTAGAGGGCCCCTTAATTGAGTGCGATAATTACTTGCTGTTTTTGGCGAGTAGCTGTTCGAGGAACACACCGATCTGAAAGAACGAAAAACCCCTCAGGAATTTATTTATTATAAAAAAAACACAGTGAAAACGTATTAGGTGGATCAAAATACATTCTTAATTAAAATTCAGCTTCACATACTTTGTTGTTTTTTTACATTTTGTCCAGCAAATTTTCAGTGTGTCCTGTAGTTTTTGTGATTTTTTGACAATCTGTAGGACACTATGTCCGACAGATTTTTTACCTCTTTCGCCAACTCTGGAAGAACCATCATGTAGTACAGATTCCAGTTCAAAACTTTGCCCATATCAATAGGGTGGGGTCACAATAGGGTATCAAAGTTTACATGGGAATATAACAGAAAAAAAATCTTTAAAAAATTTTCCTTTCCCAAACAGTTGGACAATGATTTGTGATACATGTGTATTAAAATACAAATGTTGTCAGATGATTGTGTAGATTCAAGTTTTTGACCTTGGGAGAGGGAAGGGGCCACTAGAATCAAAGAAAAAAATCTTGAAATAAAAGCCTTATTTTAAAGAACAACAATTAGTCAAATGTTGATACAGTAAGGTAAGCATCCTCCAGTAGTGTAGATTCAAGTTTGTACAAATCATGGCCTCCAGGGCTAGGGTGGGACCAATACTCTGAAGAACACGAGGGCCATACTTACTCGGGTGAACAATATGGCCCATGGGCATCTTGTTAGTGATTTTTTGGAATAACTCAGATAATTTTATAAGAAAATATTTTTAATTTTTTTTAAGCGACTTCTGTTTATATCGATGCAAGGATCATTGCTAAATAATGTCAGAATCAGATGATCGCAGAATATCTGTTATACGGTATTGCATTTCTCACAAAGGTCATGTCAAATTGCAGGAAAATAGGTATGTTTCTAGTAAAGAGATATTTCTTTTAATAGTGAGTCTAGTTTCAAAAGAGGTTATGTCAGATAGCCCCCTGTGCACTTGTCTTCCTTGCATTCTTGATGGAACACAGAGCTACATATTCTTAGCAGAGATTTGTGGTTACTTCTTCATAACAGGTGTTACATCACACTTGCTCAGGCCTTGGGAATGTCCATGGGTGGGGCACCAGCTGGTCCAGCAGGTACTGGCAAAACGGAAACAACCAAAGACATGGGAAAAGCTCTGGGAAAGTATGTAGTGGTATTCAACTGTTCTGATCAAATGGATTTTAGAGGACTGGGAAGAATATATAAAGGTAAATCTATGAGGACTTAACTCAGGAAGTCTATTTTTTCAACTCAGGAAGTCTATTTGAAAAAAACTACTTGTAGAAAGAAAAATAACACACAACAAATATTCATATTTGCTGAAAAACTTTACCAAGATGCTGTTCAGTTACATGTATAGGGGATGGTTGATAAGAATGGTAATAGACAGGTAGGCAATAGATTGGGGAATGGTGGTACATGTAAAACAGTTTTATATAGCAAGGAAATCAGGATTTGAACATTTGTTGGTGGTAAGTGGGGGTGGCATTATTACGGGAGATTGCTGTATTCTCTTTACATAGGATATTGCATCAAAGGGGATTAAATATGGTTGTAAATGGTGTTCTGTGGTATTTTATACTGGCTAAGGATCCTTGAATTAAGAGAATTGGGGTTCTAGACTACTTGCATAGTTGACACAAAGGTTCCTGTGGATATCTTGTACCATTCTATTTATTACTAAATTATATTTTTTAACAGGATTATTCAACTGTTCTGATCAAATGGATTTTAGAGGACTGGGAAGAATATATAAAGGACTTTGTAGTACATGTACAAGATTAGGGGGAAATGATTGGGGGTGTAGTCTCATTAGGATGATTTTTGTTTTATACTATTTTAATTCATTAGAAAGATAGATTTGCCTGTTACTTAGTGTTTTGAATGATCTAATATTGGGGGGGGGGGGGTGCAGATTTTTAATCAAAATACCTCATATCTCTACGTTGCCTTTTAGGTTTAGCACAGTCTGGATCCTGGGGATGCTTTGACGAGTTTAACAGAATTGAATTGCCTGTCTTATCTGTAGCTGCTCAACAGATCTACATTGTTCTGAATGCCAAGAAGGACAGGAAAAAGGAGTTCATATTCACTGATGGGGATGTAGTTGAACTCAATCAAGAATTTGGAATTTTCCTTACCATGGTCAGTTTATCTTCATGGTTATAGAAAATCGTTTCATAAAAGAATTGCATAAAAAAAATTACTTGTTTTATTCAAAATAGTACTTATATTACAGAATCCTGGGTATGCAGGACGTCAAGAATTACCAGAAAACTTGAAAGTTCAGTTCCGTACAGTGGCCATGATGGTTCCAGACCGTCAGATTATTATGAGGGTTAAACTTGCTAGTTGTGGATTTTTGGAAAATGTTCTTTTGGCACAGAAATTCTACACTCTCTACAAATTATGTGAAGAACAGTTGTCGAAACAAGTGAGTGCACAATATATTAAGGCTTTTGAAAGACCAGTTATGTAAGGTTTATTATCAGTTGTTACATGTAGGTATGCAAATACATTAATTGGAATTGTTTCAAATGCTGCATCATGATGCATCTAACTTAAATTTTCCAATTTTAAAAAAAAATTTTGGAGTGGATCCTTTCTCATGCATATATGCATGAACTTGACACAACTTGCATGGAAATTGTACGAATGGATGCATATAATCAAACTTGCCTCAGATGCCTCATCTTAAACTTTTTCTAAAGTTTTTGACCAGACCAGCTGCCAGTAGCCCTTTTCACAAAAATCTTAAGATTTTGACTTAAGAATCTCTTACAACAAATCTTAAGATCTTTTCACAAATGCATTTGTAGCAGATTGAACTTAAGATTTAACTTACGAAAAGAATGAAAAGTTTGCAACACTTCATTGTTAGCAAAATAAACACGATGGGCGATCAATTGTGAAGCAGGACAGTTTGAAATCTGATGTCACATTCACAAGTCTGACATAAAAGTAGGTCATAAGTAAATCCCAAGGCCAAAAAAATTAATCAATAGTTTCTCAGGCACCGTCGCATCAGGTCAAACACTGTCGCATTGATCAATTTTATTGACATGTTGAAAAGGGAAATAATTCAATTTTCTATTTTTCCAAGTTGAAAAAGAAAATTGAGTTATTCCCCTTTTAATAAATGCTAATAGATGTTTTTATTAGATAAACAATACATTTCTTGTTGATACAGTATTTTATTAATTGACTTTGTTTGGAATAACATTATTTAAAGTTGAATACATATTTGAATTAATGTAAGAGAACAAAAAAACTATGAATCTATTAATATCATCATTTTGTTGAATGACTGACACGAAAAAAAGGTATAACACCTGCTTCAAAAAAAAAAAAAAAAAAAAAGAACCTGCCTGCCACATTGAATTTTGAAATTTTTGGCCTGAGAAACTATTAATTATTTTTCATGGCCTAAGAGAAACTGTCATTGTATATATTTTGCAGACTATTCCCTATACTTTTCAACAATAAAATTTTTGATTAAGCAATATTCTATTTTTATATAAATATTTTAAAGTTTACTTAAGAATTGGCTCTATAATACTTCAGAATAAGAGTCCCTGTAAAGTTGCAACAAATTTTCTTTTCTTCTCTTCTAAAAAATATCGTAAGAACTTGTGAAAAGGAACAAAATCATACCGTATATACTCGCCTATAAGTCGGATTTTTGGGAGTTAAGCTTTGGTCCAAAACTCTATGTCCGACTTATAGGCAAGTTATAAAAAGACTGGTATTTTAGAAGGTCAACCCCTTTAATATAAGCTTCAAAAATACAACCGACTTATAGGCGGACCGACTTATAGGCGAGTATATACGGTAAGTTTTCTCTTACAATGAAACAGGCTACAGGTGATTATAAGCCTTACCTGATCAAACTTACAAGGATGATGAATCTGGTTATACGTGCTTACTGTATGTACTAGAATTACTCCACCTGCTACATCCACAGGCACCTGAAATTTTTTGATTCTGAAATTTTGATTAGTAACATTGTTAGCTCACCTGATCTGAAAGCTCAAGTGAGCTTTTCTGTACACCTGCTGTTCGTCTGTCTGTCCGTCCATCCGTCTGTCCGTCCATCTGTAAACTTCACATTTTCAATTTCTTCTCAAGAACCACCGGGCCAAATTTAACCAAAGTTAGTACAAAGAATCCTTGGGTAAAGGGGAGTTTAAATTGTTAAAATAAAGGGCCAAGCCCGTTTACAAGGGGAGATAATCAAGAAAAGACAAAAATAGGGTGGGGTCATTAAAAAATCTTCTTCTCAAGAACCACTGGGCCAGAAAAGCTGAAACTTATTTGGAAGCATCCTGGGGTGGTGTAAATTTTAAATTGTTCAAATCATGACCCCCTGGGGGTAGGGTGGGGCCACAGTAAGGAATCAATGTTTTACATTGAAATATGTAGAAAAAATCTTCCTCTCAAGAACCACAGGGTCAGAATAGCTGAAACTTATTTGGAAGTATCCTGGGGAAGTGTAGATTCTAAATTGTTAAAATCATGACCCCTGGGGGTAGGGTGGGTTCACAATAAGGAATCAAAATTTTACATTGAGATATAATTGAAAAATCTTTCAAAATTTTCTTCTCAAGAACCACTGGGCCAGAAAAGCTGAAACTTATTTGGAAGCTTTCTGGGGAAGTGTAGATTCTAAATTGTTCAAATCATAGGTGGGGCCACAATACATATTACAAGGGAGAAAATATGGCAGTACCAAAGTTACTCACGGTGTTGTCCATCTGCCTCTTGTTGAATATGAAATTTCCAATCTACTCCTGCAATTTAAGTTAAAATTGTTTCAAGAATGTACAGCTTAAATAGCTTCAATCTTTAAAAATAAAGATAGAAAGTATATGTTCTTGTACACTTTTAGGTTCACTATGACTTCGGATTGAGGAATATATTGTCTGTATTGAGGACTTTAGGAGCCAACAAGAGAGCTAGACCAAATGACACAGAAAATACAATTGTGATGAGAGTTTTAAGAGACATGAATTTATCAAAATTGGTAATTTTTATTTTAAGCTATTCAAACAAAAATTAGAAATTTAATAAAGGTCATAGAATTCTTGGAAAAAAAGGGGGGGGGGGGATAAATGAAAAAAAAAGGAAATATAACAGTGATGGGGAAGGACCTGGTGCCAAATGAAGTGCATTTGGCCTATTTGGGGTCATCTTTAAATCCCCCTTTTTTTTGTAGAATTATACCTGTGGCAGAAAGATCTTTTAAAAAATACAGATTCAACTGAATTTCTTAATTAATCTAAGAGATTGTATATCTAATAACAAGACCTTAACCACAATCTCTCTGGTGGTATGCCAGGACAAAGTCGAAATAAAATGAAGTATCGCATGTTTATATTAAGTAATTTAGCAAGGTTAATCAAGATCCATTGTATTCTTAAGTTAGCTATAATTTGATCACTTCCAATGCAGGATTTACTGATTTACGTAGAGTTATGTATATTTTGTGCCTTTTCCAATAGGTTGATGAGGATGAGCCATTGTTCATGAGCTTGATAGCAGATCTGTTTCCAGGAATTGTGCTAGACAGTGCAACATATGCAGAGTTGCAAGTGGCTATTGCTAAACAAGTAGATGATGCTGTGCTCATAAATCATCCATCATGGAATCTCAAACTTGTACAGGTCAGTATTATCATTTGGCCTACAACCCAATCCAGTATTACGGTAAAACTGTGTTATTAGGAAGTAGAAATTTGGTTCCTTATAGCTGAGATTCCTTATATCTCTATAAAGAACATAATACAGAGTTTCCTATGGAATTTTTTTAAAAAAAATCCTTGTAAATGAGATTTTCTTACAAACGAGTTCTTTTTAACTGACTTTTACTGCATGTAGAGATTTTATGTACGTAGGAAAATATTGTTTAAGGGGAAGACATTAGTATTCTTCATTCATCTGGACAAAATTTTGGTTACCAAATATTTCTGATACACTTCACTGCCTATCATACCTTTTAGCTCACCTGAGCTGAAAGTGAGCTTTTCTGATCATATTTTGTCTGACGTTCATTATAATTCCTCGCACATTAAAGAATTTCAAATGACTTTGGTATAGGATTATTACATTTCCTGGTCATTAGAAATCTTTATGGTAAGTTTAGCTTCTTTTTTGCCTGTATGATAAGTTAATGGGCACATGAATTGTGATAGTGATCAATTTCTAAATAAAGCATTAGTCTAGGTAAATTGTTTCAGTTGTTTTCATTATTTTGTAGCTCTATGAAACACAAAGAGTAAGGCATGGAATGATGACACTTGGACCAAGTGGTGCAGGCAAAACTTGCTGCATCCATGTCTTGATGAAAGCTATGACTGATTGTGGAGCTCCTCACAGAGAAATGAGAATGAATCCAAAAGCTATTACAGCACCACAGATGTTTGGTAGACTGGATGTAGCAACAAATGATTGGACAGATGGCATCTTTTCTACCTTATGGAGGAGAACACTAAAAGCCAAAAAAGGTTAACTGAAATAATCTCACTAATTCAATTACTGCACCACAAGAGATTTAATATGTAAGTGGGCTTGACTTTGAAAATACACTGAAATCTTCAAATATCAACTTTTTTTTTTAGTAATTGAAAATAATATAGACTGTTTAAAATTGCCATACTTTGGCTGCTTCCAATTATTATGGTGAAAATATGCATATGTACCAGTTGATCCCAGAAATGCAAAGTGCTCTGGGATGAACCCAGCATGCACATACCAAATTTATGCTCTAAAATTGTGCTTAGACCAATTTACAATCAGATTTGATATTCCTATCATGTTCCAAGCAAGTAAACAAATTACCAATACTGCACTGTCTAAACTTTAGCTTGTGTACTCCATCAAAGTTGAAAATGCATGGTGTGAAGTGCTTCTTTTTACCTTTGTGAGCATGTGATGTAACTTAGCGATTAATCAATTGTTGCTGATAATCGATAGTCCATCATCTAAGGCTTACAGCTATGACCAGAAAGTAGAAATATCATGATAATTGTTTAAGAAGGAAGTTAATAAATTTGCAGATAATAATTATATTACTTCTGTATTAGTTGCCCTGCTACTGTATGTACCCCCATAAAGAATAGCAGGGAATGGTAGCTTGATTGAGGAAACATCAATATATAGACCTCTTAAATTAAAATAAAAATTAACAACAATAATATGCTTTATGGTGTGACCGTTTGGGCGAGTGCAGATTCATGCAGCTATAGTTACACTTGCAACTTTGATCCAGGATCCAGCTCTTTAAACTTAAACTGCATGAGACACATTCTAAACTGTGACATCACATGACATCGTATGTAAGTTGCATGTCTGTAACAGAGTCTAAATAGGCCAAGGCATATTGTAATGAAAGACATTACTGAGTAGATGCAACTGTTTTGTTTCTTTTAAGCTCCCTGCATTAATTAAATCTTTATGAAACTGAGGGACTGTTATATTCACCATTAGGCCTTCCACCTGGAATCCTGGTAGCGAAGGAATTCTGGGAAGGTTGCACAGGAAAATTTGCCTGACATTTCATTCTGAATTTCCTCTGTTCTTACGTGTTAGTCTATTGAGCTCACTTCACACTGCTCGCTATCATCATGATTATAGAGGTATAGTAAGTAGGAAGGAAGATCTCAGCCACCTTCCAAAAATGGTCTTGTTTGCTTTCCATCCCCTATTTGGTCTTATGAAGACCCCCTCCTTTCCTAAATCTGTGATGTTTCATCCACTTATTTCATTTTAAATTTATTTGAATTTTTTAAAAAAAGTCTTGATTTTTATGTGTTAATTAATGATATCTGAATTTTACTGATTTTAAACGGCTTTTTAAGGTAAGATAAGAAAGATAATTCTGACTGGGATTAGTATCTACCGTTCCTTTTAAAAATCATCAAGTTAAAAGACAATTTAATTCTGTCAAATTTTGCACTACAGGCATGCTGATATTGTTTTCATTTTATATGAGCAATCAAGGGGATGATATTTAAATTTTAATTGATGACTTTATAGGATAATGAAATAGTTTATATTTTTTTAGGAGAAAACATATGGATTGTGCTAGATGGCCCGGTTGATGCAATTTGGATTGAGAATTTGAATTCTGTTCTTGATGACAATAAGACTCTCACCCTGGCAAATGGTGACCGTATTCCAATGTCGCCAGCCTGTAAGGTAGTATTTGAAGTCCACAACATTGACAATGCCTCACCAGCTACTGTATCTAGAAATGGTATGGTGTACATGAGTTCATCAGCACTGGATTGGAGACCAATATTACAGGTACGCAAAAATAAATTACTGCTTGTTCAAATTCTGAGCTACAGGTCCAACCATTGAAACTATGATTTATGGCAACATGTTTTATTCCTATTTCTCATACAGTATGCATTCCCACACCTAGATCATAGTTTACATCAAGTAAATTAACAAGTAAATTAATAACATACTATTTTACTCCTACTTGTGTAACTTTATTTACCTTTCAATGCATGGTTCCAAATAGTCTTGAAATGTCAATTTCTACTCCACTACTGAACGAAAAAAGGGACATAACTCTATTTGTATTTGGGTTTACGTATACTGGAACTGTTTAGACATAAACAAAGTATGATTATCTACACTTTGTCATGTGATATAATTTTAGTCAGTCAGAGAGTGATACAGGAGAAAATTTGTGCACATGATCAAGAAAGTATTTCGACATATGATCAATCAAGAAATAATACATTCTTTTTTTATCACCTTGAAGTTATACATTACATAAAGTGTGTATTCACTTGCATCTTCATGATTTACTGCTTAAAAAATAAGGATTTTGCATGCATAAGTAAAATGTTCATATTCTATGTTTTGGATTTTTAGACAATTCTGTAACAATGAAAGCTCATTCAATAAAAAAAAAAAAAAGAAGGAGCAAGTTACATATTAAATGATTTTGTTTATTGAAGGGTTGGCTGTTAAAGAGAAATTCCCAAGAAAGTGAGCTTCTGTTGACCCTTTTTGACAAAATATTTGATGATTTGTACACCTATGTCAATACAAATTTGTTGCCCAAAATGGAGACACTGCAATGCAACCAAATTATGCAGGTAAAATTTAAATCAGTTTAAATGATTTTAAGAACTACTGCATCATAGAATTGTCAAGCATAAAAGTTGTTGAGCTTAGTACTACATACCGGCCTTAAAATTGAATGTCTTTATTTTAAGGCTTGCAATGTACTTGAGGGTTTGATTCCTAAGAAAGATGACAAAGGCACTCTTCCTGCATTCCATCTTGAAAAACTTTTCCTATTTTCTCTGATGTGGAGTTTGGGTGCATTGTTGGAGTTGGATGATCGTGCCAAAATGGAGGAATTTATGTCTAAACATGAGAGTGCATTGGAATTACCTACTGTGAAAGAGGGAGAGACCATCTTTGAATATGTTGTAGATGATCATGGTATTGTTAAAACTAAATACACAATCAGTGCCAACAACTTACATTATTTTAAAGTGTTCTAAGGTGGATATTACTGGTGACAATAGAGTCAAGTTGTGCGGGCAAAACTTATCCTATAAAATTGTTTCCTAATAAATATAAATCAGAGATCTTAACATTTCCAATGTTTTACTGAGCAATCCAAAAAAAATAATTGAAGTTGGACCACTCGATGAGATGTTGAACTGCTTTAAAGATTTTTGTGTCACCTGCAGAGCAGAGCGACACTTAGGGGTAACTTTACCAAGTATCTGTCTAGCTCTGTGTCCTTCTGTCACGCCTTACATCTCGAGAACTGTAAGAGGTTTGGATTTGATATTTTGCACATAAATTGCTTGGCACTAAGAGGTATGGATTTGATATTTTGCACATGTATTGCCTGACACTATGGTTTTTGTAAATTATCATGGTTACTAACCTTGTGACCCTTGACCTGGACAATTAACCTATACTTTTCAGAATAATTCATAGTGCTGATATACAGCATATTTTTGACATTTAAGAGGTATATTATAAGTCTTTGCTATTTAGCATGTGCACTGTTTGTCATAAAATAATATGAAAAATACTAGTGTCACAATCCACTTGACCTTTGACCTACTTTGCAACATACATCCTTGACAGTTTAATTCTACTTTTGTCTTTTGAATTTTGAGAGGCAGGGTTTTGTTAATTAGCATTTATACATATTCATGATCTCATGATACTGTACTTTGAAACTGACCACACAAACTTGCAGTACCAACCAGACCCAGCCTGACACCCAGGCAGTCCCAGAAAGCAGTCCCTCCAGGGACTGCTCTAGAAAGCAAACCTAGCAGTCCCCAGGACTGCTTTGTTCACTCAAGCGTGAAAAAGGTTCTGAGTGACATGATAGCCCCACTCCTTGTGTGTTCCAATTTTGCAAATTCCGTTGTAGTTTTGTTTATTTACAGCAGGGAGGTTATTGAAATAAAAAATTAAAAAAGGATTTCTTATAAAATTTTATCAAGTAGGGATAGTTACTGAAGAAAAATGGGATTTTATCAGTGTTTGAAACTCACTGCAAAATTAGCCAGACATGAAGTGCTGACTGCTAGTAAAAGTTGCCAGCCCTGCCAAAGATCTACTAACTCGAGAAAATAATTGTCTTTCTTAAAGAACTATATGCGGTATACGAGGGGTGATCAAAAAGTTCGCGAACTATCTCTATATTTACAAATCCACAATTCAGATCAGAAAATTTGGCACACATATAGTCATACACATGTTCTATAAATAACAGATGTTAAATAATGTTTTATTCCGTGTTTGTGACGTCACAATGTGAAAATGACGTCAATATGCAGGTCATTTGTGACAAAAAATGGTTGACCCAGTTGTACTCGAGCAACAAACGGCTGTAAAGTTTAACTTATATTTTTAAAATTCCTTTGCAGTAGAATATGATAATTTGTTCAAGGTTTATGAAGACAACTTTAGGACTTACCAGAAGTTCAATCATTAACTGGATTGATTGTTTAAGTAAAGACAGGGAGATGGTTAAAAATAATGTTTGTTCTGTTGCCCAGCAAAAGCAAGCCAGGGAAAAGATGTGTCCTTAGTTGAGCAATTTTTTATGAAACATCGTCAAGTTACAATTAGAAAAATGGTTGAATATCTTAACAATAATATAGTTATTAAATCCCTAAAATATCGTTTACTTTAGACTTTAAACATATGAGATATGATAAAAAGAAGGCGCCCATACTTTATCCACATTGGATAAACGACGCTCCCGAGACAGAGGACTCTGGTTGTGATGGGTCACCATACTAATTGTGGGAAAGGATATCCTTCTCCACCCATCCTATTGCTGAGATTTGGTCATTTCTGACAGATGAACTGTTCTTATTATAAAAAATAGCTTGCATGGTACGAAATATAAGACTCGGAAAAATCTTAAAGCTTCTCTGAACAGACTGCTACGGAGCATGTCACGTGACTGCCTGGATCACGTAATTCACGCATGGGCAGAACAATGGCAGATGTGCATTAAAATTGGAGAGGACTATTTCAAAAAATAATAAACACTGAAACTTCATTTTATTTCTTTTAAGGAAGTAATTCAATTAGTTTGCGAACTTTTTGATCACCCCTCATATGCACATTTTTGCCCCCACGAGTCATATTTTGAAAATTTCTTGAAATGTGCTGAATTGTATATATTGTGTGAGAAATCTAAATTAACAAAAAATATTATAGTTTCAAAGTAGATTATTGGCAACTTTTGTTTCTATGACGTCACAAACTAATCGGATTTTGTGTTATTTTTCAGAAAAAGGAAAAAATGGACAAAATTTGTTCAATTTTTACTATAAAATTTATAGAGCGCAGGCCTGCTCAAGAACAATATTTCCATATTTCATTGATATTATCATTCTACACATTATATCAAAATATTGAAATGGAGCAGACCTGCGCTCGGTGACATTTACTCAAAATATTGCCGTAATATACACTTTTTTTCCGTATAAATCATGGAAATTTTGAATTTACGTCATCTTTCTGACGTCATATCTAACATATGGCGTCATGGCTTATGAAAATATTCAGTGCTTTGAAGTCTGCAGATACTCCCCTGTTTTAGAACATAATTATATATTTCTCCGTCAAAGTTTGATTTTGGGGGCAAATATTGCTCATTACCGAATATAGTCCTTTGTTTTTAACGATTATTTGACTTGAACCGGGTCACCATAACTTCAAACCAGAATCTATAGACTGATGAATTCTTCCTCTTTGCTACTGATACTATTAGTAGATATGAAAGAAATTTATCAAATGTATGAATTTTTATTATCGAAAATTTTAACATGTCCAGCCGGGCGTCAATACATGCAAATTTATTTGCCCGCTGCAAAATTTGTGCGTCTCGGGCGGTCGGGCGCACAGTTATTTCAAACACTGATTTTATGTACATGCATGTGTGAACCGCCATCCTTGGAAGCACAAAGAACACCAAAGGTCTTAAGGGATGTAAATTTACACCATTACAGTCAAGAATTAATCAGAAAAATTACTTTATAAGTTTCTTTTGCAGTTTTAAAAATATGGAAGTTAGGAAATGATTTTTTTTCTCCCGTGAATTTTACATAAATACAGGTGTTTGAAACAAAAGTATTTTAATTAATTAATGCTGTTAAATTCTATACTCAAAGTTTGCTTTAGCATTATTTTAACTTGTCAACACAGTTATGGAATTTTTCTTGTTTGAAAAAGACGTACCACGCTAAAAAAAAAAAAATCAATGCTATTTTGTACCGCCTTCAAAATAAAACCAAATAATTAAATGTCCATGAAATAAAATTATTCTACCACATTCTTCAGTCACATGAACAATGTGAATTTATTTATAAATTAATTTTCAATTTATAAACAAGTTATTAAAAAATACATTTACTAAAAATAAAAGTTTGAAAATATTGGGAAATGTGTCTGAATTTTTTATTATTTTTGTGTATGTTTGAGAAATAAGAAGGTATTGCCTTGCCGATTAATTCATAATTGTATACGTTGTATAAAAAGGTGTCAACACCTGAGGTTTCAATCACCTCTAGGCATGATAGGCAGAAATATCATGCATGTTATTGGGTATCGGTGTTACATATCATTGACCATGCTGGTCAACATTGACACTAATTTCAATCTTCATACTGCAAATACAGTGGACCTTCAGATATCCAGACGCCAGGTATCCGGACGCTTCAGTTTCCGGACGATTTTTAATGGGAACGAAAATTTTCAACGTTATTTTGTCTCGTTTAACCGGAATTCCGCGTTCCGTATCCGGACGGTCATTTTTCACCACAAAATGAATTTTTACGTTATATTTTGGTTCATTTATCCAGACGATTATTTTTCAACTGGTCTGTCAAGTCTGCTCAGATTACTTGATCTGGGTGTTAGTAATTGTTGTAAAAACACTGGTCTGGCTGTTTGTTTTAAAAGATGACCACCTGTGACCTGTTATCAATGGCTTGCGGCAAGGTTAATTGTAGTTCGATAGGTATGCATGAGACTCTCGCTTCACTAACATGGTTTTGATACGTATTAATTAAGGAAAATAATTTTTAAGTCTAGGATAATTTTTCGTAGTCGGCAAATATATTTCTTTTACTGTTAGAATACAGTCGTAACATGGGTTAATGTATTTATAGACATGACATCGGAGTTTTTATATGCACAGTATTTTGTGCGCAAAACGCATTCTATGATTTGATGACATTTATAAAATCACTTTCAGAATTACACAATCGTTAATACGATCTTGCATTGGATGATTACGATTAGCGTTCGTATACATACGCAGATTATGTTACATTTAGCATTGATAGGCGTTCATATTAAATAAGACTCTACCGACAGTACCGTACCGACATGGCTACTAGGAGAAGTTGATTCATTAGACACTGGGAAGTAGAAATAATTAATGTGACCATATAAACACGTTTTTTTCCCAATGACAGATGTACTTTTTTATTTATTTAAACAAGTATTGAATGGTACTAACTTATATAAAAGTATTTAAACAATAAAACGTATTGATATAAAGCAACATTCTTTACGATTGAAAATGGTATGAAAGGCCATCTAACTAAAATCAGCGCAATTCAGGTATCCGGACGCTTCACATATCCGGACAAATTGACTGGGAACCAAAGCGTCCGGATAAATGAGGTTCCACTGTATCCTTGTTGCAATAAATATGGTATAAATTTATTTCTGGAATATTTAATATTGAACATCATCTAAGGTATTCACTCATGTGATTTACATGTAAACGCTTGTAGAATAAAACACTTAAAATTAGTGGAATTGTTTAAATTTCTATTACATAAAGATTCTAACAATAATTAAATCAGCAAGTCGCTGAAAATAATCATGACCAGAATATACTAGTCGACAAAATTGAATAAAGAATTTTTCACAAGCTCCAACACGAAAAATATGGGAATCGGCCTATAGCTCTATATATCACATGATTTTATTTAGCTATATTTCTGGCAGAAAAATGAGCCAAAAAATATACAGATCCCAATATCAATCACAAGAAATAAATAAATTGATTTAATTTGTTGTTTAATATATACCAATAATTTTTGATAAATTAAGCGTTCCTTCAATAATTTTCATTGTTTATATATTTATATGCATGCATGCATACTGTGATTTTGCTTACAATTCAGAAATAATTAAATGTCGCAGAAGAATTGTGAATATTTGATGTAACATGTATATGTACATGCATTAAAATCATTTTTCTACTCAGAAAAGAAGTGCATCATTAATTTCAACTGCCTTTATATAATGGTGTCAGTGTTTATTGATAATCTCAGTTCTGAGAAAGCTCCGTGAATTAAATTAATAAGCCCCGCCCACTGGGACAGCTTTCTTGGACCGCGGCACTGTGGGACTGCTCACGCAGTCCCAGAAAGCAGTCCCTGGCATGGCTTTTTGTCAGGTTGCATCTGGTTGGTACTGTATATTTAAATACTATGAAAATACATCGGGATCGGTATTCCACAATGGATCACGTACATTGATCGGGATCGGTATTCCACAATGGATCACATAGACTGACAAATGCAGGAAAGATAGACTGAAATCTTTTTAAAAGGATTGTTGAAAATATTATTAGAATTAAAATGATAAATAATTTTTTCTAATAATATAAATTTAATTATTCATCTGAGGGTTGGGAAACTACATTTTCTTTAATTGACAGAGTATATTTCAGTCTTATTCTGTAATATGTAGTTAATAAATAGCTGACCACTTTTAGATTTATTTACATCCTTAAGGTCAAGATCTAGTAAATGACTTTAAACTTACTGTTTGGTGCTAGATTCATTATGATGTCATAATCAATTTCAACTTTCTCTTTCCCGTACTTTACGGCTGTAATATAATTATGTAGAAAATAAAGTATTTTCATGGAATTCAATTTGAAATCATGTGAAAAATAATCCCGATACCTACATTCAATTTAATATTATTTTAAAGAAGAGGCCAAGAACATACAAATTACTGCTTTCTGAGAGACTGTAGGCAATCTGGATACATTTCCTTTGTCTGATATGGTAAAAACTCCCGTTTTCTTGACTGGTTTTCTTAATTTTTCATTGCAAAATGAGTTTAAAATATGATTTTCGTCATTTTTACCTAAAAATTATGCCCCGAAACAGCTTACTTGACCAAGCTAAAGTTATAAAGCATCATTAAAGGAATTTATTTCTAAAATTTGAGAAATCTGTAGGTACCTTTCTTTCTTTAGATCTCTAGATCTTGACCTTAAAGAAGCTACATGCAAAGCAGCTAGGCGATACATGTGTTTCTTGGAACACTTTTTTTTACATCACACTTTATTCCTCATGTAGGTGGGATTAGCTATATCTTAATGCAGCATTCCCACAACTTAAGATATAAAAATTGCTGTGAAAAAAAGTATTTCTTAAATAAAGATGAAGCTTAAATTTTTTTTCTTTTTCTTACAGGAGAGTGGGAACACTGGTCTAAGAGAGTAGAAGAATACATTTACCCTTCAGATGTTGTTCCTGAATTTGCATCCATTTTAGTACCAAATGTGGACAATGTGCGAACAAGCTTCTTAATTGATGTCATCGCAAAACAGAACAAAGTGGGTACTTTCTACAAAGGAAGATCATGAGTTTTGATAGAAGTATACCTATCAATGCATGCTGAAACAGAAATCCTTTCTGCAGTAGTTCTGTTTCTTATTTATCACTGTATTTATTTTATTAGGCTGTACTTTTAATTGGAGAACAAGGAACAGCAAAGACCGTGATGATCAAAGGTTATATGGCACAGTATGACCCAGATAGTCATCTGAGTAAAAGTTTCAACTTCTCTTCTGCTTCTACTCCATCCATGTTTCAGGTAATAAACAATGCTTAGACTGATTTTGTCTGGACAAGTAAGAGTAAAGACTGATTATTTTGTACATTTTACACCACATACTTACAGAGGACCATAGAGAGCTATGTGGATAAGAGAATGGGAAGTACGTATGGACCCCCAGGAGGAAGGAGAATGACTGTTTTTATCGATGATGTGAATATGCCTGTCATCAATGAGTGGGGGGACCAGGTCAGTCTATTGCAGGCATACACAATGTTACCGTTTTAAAACTTCTATGCAGTCATGCATGGTTTCATTACTGCATGTTGTAAATAAATTTGAAAAATTATTCCATGTTGATTATAGATTACAAATGAAATCACACGTCAAATGATGGAGATGCATGGCATGTACAGCCTTGACAAGCCTGGTGATTACATATCTATAGTAGACATGCAATTCATTGCTGCTATGATCCATCCTGGAGGAGGTAGAAATGATATTCCTCAGAGATTGAAAAGACAGTTCTCTATATTCAACTGCACTTTGCCATCAAATAACTCCATTGACAAAATTTTTGGTAGGTTGTGGTTGATTGTTTAGGGATACTATCCTGAGAAGGATTTTAATTTTAACAAATCTCTTTTTTTATACCCCCTGCAAACGAAGTTTGGGAGAGTATATAGGAATCACCTTGTCCATCTGTCCGTCCGTCTGTCTGTCTAGCTGTGCAAAAGTGTCCGGTCCATATCTTTCTTACGGAGAAAAATTAGAATCTACTACTTCATACAAAGATTGTTCATGACCTGAGGGTGTGTCTTGACCTTGACCCAAGGTCATTTGGGCAAGTCCAAGGTCACTGGAAGAAAAAGTTCATAATTCGTGTCCGGTCCATCTTTCTTATGGATAAACTTGATGAGTTCCCATTTTACACAAAGATTGCTTATGACCTAAGGGTGTGTCAAGACCTTGAGCCAAGGTCATATGGGCAGTTCAAGGTCACTGAAAGAAAAAGTTCATAATATGTGTCCGGTCCATATCTTTCTTATGGATAAACTTGGTGAGTTTCCATTTTACACAGAGATTGCTTATGAACTGAGCATGTATCATTACCTCGACCCAAGGTCATTTGTGCAATTTCAAGGTCACTGACAGAAAAAGTTCATAATTCATGTCTGGCTGTATCTTTCTTATGGAGAATAATGTTGGGATGTTGGGGGTTTCCACTTCACACAAAGATTGCATATGACCTGAGGGTGTTTCATGATCTTGACCTACTCACTGTAGAAAAAATGGATAAATAATGCATCCATACTTTCCAATAGAGGAATACTTGAAAAATTGTTATTTATTTTTTCAATGTAATAAAAAATGTTATAATAAGTTTTGATGTTTTATTAGGCTGCACCTTAGTTTCATTCATTAAAAAATATAATGAGCAATTACCGGTAAATATTTACTCTAAATGTTTAAACAAATTGTGAATGCCTCTTAGATCCATCAAATACTAGTATTAGTGACTTAGCACCTTCTCTGAAGTAACCCTGCAGGGGGTATTTGTCCATTTTGGGCAGTTCTAGTTTTGAGTTTGATATGTGAAGTCTGTAAATGGTTCAAACAAGTCTTTGCAAGTCTTTGAATTCCATTCTCATCTTTGAAAATCATTGAGAGTTAGAGCACTTAAAATTTAAAGCTCTAATTGGCCTCAAAAATAATTGAATGATTTCTCCAACCGAAAATGGTCAACCAAAAATGGTGTAAGGTTAAAAATATTTCATCTTTTGTTTGAATAAGTGTCATATATCTGTGTCAAATCAAATTAAAATGTATCTTTTGTAGAAGTATTATGTTTCATAAACATAATTAATATTATATATGTTGTTTTACAGGCATCATTGGTTGTGGATATTTTTGTTCTAGTCGTTTTAATCCAGAAGTTTGTGAGATTGTGAAGAAGATTGTACCAGCTACTAGAATTCTCTGGCAAATGACAAAGGTTGTAATCTTTCAATTTTTAAATTTGATAGGATGTATTCTTGTACTTTATTTTTTATGCCCCCCTTCAAAGAAGGGAGGGCATATTGCTTTGCTGCTGTCTGTCAATCAGTCGGTCTATCTGCTGGTCCACCAACAGTTTCCGTTCATTTTCCTTGCAGATGTTGCACATACTGAAATAAAATTTATTATACAGATTTATCATAAAAATATCTAGATCAAGTTCTGTTTTGGGTACGATTGAGCAATTTTTGACAGAGTTATGCCCCTTGGACTTGGAAAAATTCAAACTATTTGCAGTTTCCGTTCATTTTCTTCGCAGAGGTTGCACATACTGAAATAAAATTTATTATACAGATTTATCATAAAAATATCTAGGTCAAGTTCTGTTTTGGGTATGATCGAGCAATTTTTGACAGAATTATGCCCCTTGGACTAAGAAAAATTCAAATTATTTGCAGTTTCGGTTCATTTTCTTCGCAGAGGTTGCACATCTGAAATGAAATTTGGTATACAGATTTATCATAAAATTATCTAGGTCAAGTTCTGTTTTGGGTACGAGCGAGCAATTTTTGACAGAGTTATGCCCCTTGGATTATTGTGGGGGGGGGGGGGGGGGGGGGGGCATAAGTGTTTTACAAACCTCTCTTCTTTTTTTTTCAAAGCTCACCTCAGCTATTCTGCTCAAAGTTTGTTCATGTTTTGTCTGTCTGTCAACTTTTCACATCATTCAACTTCATCATATTACTAGCTTCAAGTTAGTTCTAATGATCCCCTGATCCCCACCAAGGAGAGATCTGTAACTCACTGGTCTAAAAAGTTAGGTATGGCTTATCTGTGAGCTACTATTTCATGCACACAGAAAAGTAAAATTTATGGCACAGGAAAAAAAGTTGTGAAACAGAAAAAAACTTTAATAATCTTATAATTTTAAATGTCCTCATAATGTAAGTGGTAGTGCTTTTAGGTGGTTATAACCTTATACAAGAGGCCCAAGGGCCTTAACGGTCACCTGAGTATGATACAATAATCTGCATTATGCATAAAATATAAAATGAACTGAAAGGTGAAGCTTTGTTGCCCAAAAGAAAAAAAAATAGGGTGATCATGATCAACAAAATAATTGGTCTTAATCATAAATTAGGTTCTAATCTGTTCCCCATTTATCACTATCACCATACAGTATATTAACAAATTATCAATGCTTCTGTACTATTTTAATCCCTTGTTGAAATCTCTTACATTGGCCTCTCTTGGTCTTTGATGAACATTTAATAAGACAAGTTATTTTTGTCTCATTTTTATTTATCTACTACTTGCAAGTCTATCTGATGATTAAAACAATGAAAGTACTTTTTGTATTATACAATAAAAGTTCTTGCATAATTCTCTTATTCTATTTACCTTTCAAGTACATTATTTACAGTGATAAATTATCAAAAGTAAATGGCAAAGGGGAATAACTCCTCTCAGTAAAATACAAACTAATAGAGCCCTGGCTAGGACCAGAACACTTGACCAAATGGTCCAGATGTTCAAAAATCTGGTAAAAATTCCCTTCCTTATAAAAATTTTTACTCTATTTGCCTCAGATATGCCCAGGTGCGGAGAAGATTTTAAAGAAATAATGCATTTTTACTACAGATTCACTATATTATAAATAGAGCACCCCCCCCCCCAAACCAAAACACCAGAGCTTCTGACCCTGGGACCATAAGTTTTCTCATCATAACTAATCACTTTGTTTATCTGCTTAACGCTAAGGAGCAAACAGGATTATTTAATAGAATTAATGGATTTTTGCTATATTATCAAGAGCCCCACCCTCGCACCAGCACATCTGACCCAGGGGTCATGAAATTCACTACTCTGAAAGAAGCACTCCTGCTCATCATAACTATACACTTAGCTTCTTTACTTTTTTAACCAGAAGCAGAAAAGAATATTTTCAAAGAAATTTTGCTTTTTCACTTTATAATCAATAGAAGCCCCCCCCTCCCCCCCCCCCCCCCCCTCTCACCAGAACCCTTTAATCTGGGGTCATAAAATTCACAATTTTGGAAGAGGCATCCTTGCGTACCATAACAATGTACTTAGTCTGTTTAAACAATACCCAGGGGCAGAGAAGAAGATTTTCAAAGAAATAATTCACCTTCACTATAGGATCTATATAGCCCCGCCCTAGCACCAGAACTCATCCCCAGGGCCATGAATTTCACAATTTTGGAAGAGGCATCCTTGCTTATCATAACAATGTACTTAGTTTGTTTAAATAATACCCAGGTGCAGAGAAAAAGATTTTTAGAGAATCAAAACATTTTCACTTTATTATCAATAGACCCCTGCCCTAACACCAGAACCCCTGATCCAGGGGCCACGAATTTCTCAATTTTGGAAGAGGCATCCTTGATTATCATAACTATGTATTTAATGTGTTTCAATAATACCCAGGAGTAGAGAAGAAGATTTTCAAAGAATTAATGCATTTTCACTATATAATCAATAGAGCCCCACCCTAACACCAGAACACCTGACCCAGGGGCCATGAAATTCATATTTTTGGAAGAGGCACTCTTGCTCATCATAACTATGTTCTTAATTAGTTTATTTAATACCCAGGAGCAGAGAAAAAGATTTTCAATGAATTAATGCATTTTCACTATATAATCAATAGAGCCCCGCCCTAACACCAGAACCCCTGCCCCTGGGGCCATGAAATTCACAAATTTGAAAGAGGCACTCTTGCTTATCATAACTATGTACTTAGTTACTGAATTTAATACCAAGGAGCAGAGAAGAAGATTTTCAAAGAATTAATGCATTTTCACTATATAATCTATAGAGCCCCACCCTAACACCAGAACCCCTGCCCCTGGGGCCATGAATTTCACAATTTTGGAAGAGGCACTCTTACTCATCATAACTATATACTTAGTTTATTTAATACCCAGGAGCAGAGAAGAAGATTTTCAAAGAATTAATGCATTTTCACTACATAATCAATAGAGCCCCACCCTAACACCATAATCCCTGACCCTGGGGCCATGAATTTCACAATTTTGGAAGAGGCACTCTTACTCATCATAACTATATACTTAGATAGTTTATTTAATACCCAGGAGCAGAGAAGAAGATTTTCAAAGAAAATCCGTCCGTCGTGTATTAACTTTTGAACATTTTTAACTTCTTCTCCAGAACGGCTCAACCAATTTCAACCAAATTTGGTATATAGCATTTATGGGTGAAGAAGAACAAAAGTTGTGAATTTCATGGTCCCTGCCCCCCTGGGGCCTGAGGGGTGGGGCTAAAACCACCAAAATTAATGCAATCTTTAAAAATCTTCTTCTTTACTCCTGGACATCAAGCAGTCAAACTGTTGGCATGATTGCAATAAGCATTGAGCCCTCTACCAAAATGGTGAAATTCATGGCCCCAGGGTCAGGGGTTCTTGTGCTAGGGCAGGGCTATATAGATCATATATATCATTTCTTTGAAAATCTTCTTCTCTGCTGCTGGGTATCAAATAAACTAACTAAGTACATAGTTATGATGAGTAAGAGTGCCTCTTCCAAAATTGTGAATTTCATGGCCCCAGGGTCAGGGATTCTGGTGTTAGGGTGGGGCTCTATTGACTATATAGTGAAAATGCATTAATTCTTTGAAAATCTTCTTCTCTGCTCCTGGATATTAAATAAACTAAGAACATAGATATGATGAGCATGGCTGCCTTTTCAGAAATTGTGAATTTCATGGCCCCTGGGTCAGGGGTTCAGGTGTTAGGGCGGGGCTCTATTGATTATTTGCATTAATTCTTTGAAAATCTTCTTCTCTGCTCCTGGGTATTAAATAAACTAACTTAGTGCATAGTTATGATGAGCATGGTTGCCTCTTCCAAAATTGTGAATTTCATGGCCCCTGGGTCCGGGGCTTTGGTGTCAGGGTGGGGCTCAATTGATATATATAGTGAAAATGCATTATTTCTTGAAATTCTTCTCTCTCCTGGATATTATATAAACTAAGTACATAGTTATGATTGCATGGCTGCCTCCTCAGAAATTGTGAATTTTGTGGCCCCTGGGTGAAGGGTTCTGGTGTTAGAGCGGGGCTCTATTGATTATATAGGGAAAATGCATAAATTCTTTCAAAATCTTCTCTGCTCCTCGGTAATACTCTAACAAAGAAAGTGCATGGTTATGATAAGGAAGAATGCCTCTTCCAAAATTGTGAAATTCATGGCCCCTGGGTCAGGGGTTCTGGTGAAGGGGGGGGGGGGGGCTCTATTGATTTTATAGTGAAAATGCATAATTTCTTTCAAACTATTTTTTCTACTACTGGTAATAAAGCAAAGAAACAAGTGTATAGTTATGATGAGTAAAGTGCTTCTTCCAGAATTGTGAGTTCATGGCCCCTGGGTAAGATGTTCTGGTGTAAGGGGAGGGGGGGGGGCTTTATTTATTTAATAATATAGTGAACATGCATTTCTTCGAAAATCTTCTATGCTTCTGGGCATATTCAAGGCAAACAGAGTAAAAGTTTTAATATGCAAGGGTATTTTTATCAGAATTTTGAACACCTGGATTATTTAGTCAAGTGTCCTGGTCAGGGCTCTTTGAACTTGTATTCTGCTGAGCAAAGTTATTCCCCTTTGCCATTCACCTTTGGTAATTAATCACTGTAAATAATGTATTTGAAGGGCTAATAGAATAAGAGAATTATGCAAGAATATTTATTGTATAATACAAAAAGTACTTTCATAGTTTTAATGATCAGGTAGACTTGGAAATAATAGATTTATAAAAGTGAGGCAAAAATAACTTATCTTTTTTAATGTTCTTCAAAGGCCAAGAGAGACCAATGTGAGAAGTAGTAATTTGGAATTAAAAATAGACATTTTGTTAATAGTCTGGATGGTAATAGTGATAAATGGGGAACAGATAGATTCTATACCAATTATTTTGTTGATGCTTATCATACTATTTTTCTTGGGCAACAAAGCTTCATTTATCAGTTTATGGATTCTCTAAATTGTTGTTTTGTACTCAGGTGACCGTTAAGGCCCTTGGGCCTCTTGTACATTTTAGTATAGAATCAGTCCAGTTTTATGTAGATTCAAGTTTGTTCAGGGTTTGGCCCTTGCAATCCAGTTAGATCTCAGTAAATGTTCAGATTTTATACCGAGGACTTCTTTAATATTAACAAGGCCGAGTCTAATTCGAGTTCGCATTTCTTTGTGCAGCTTTTTAGTTTCATGCAGTCATTGGTGCAACAGAACATCTATCCTAAGTGTTGTAATTTTAATACAAAATTAACATTATATTATATTTTCTGTAATGTTTATGGGTCTTAAAATGTGCTTTTAAGACAATAATTAGGAATAAACGCTGAAATGGCTTTCACGATGTCACTGTTTTCTGGTTCTGTAAGCAATGCATGACACTAAAGAACGACGCATAACTCGCTTGAGTATTGAAGACGTCCATGGACATTTTATTAAAAATTGTTGACAGAACATCAAAAGAAACATACCAGCAATCTAAAGATGGTTATTTTTTTACCAAAATAATTCATCTATGCTGATATATACAAAATGTATGCCGTAATATGGCAAATTTACAGGTATTGGGCATTGGAAAAAAAATAAACTTTGTAATAATTCCTAGACCAAACCAGATGGTCCACTTTTTTGAAATTTCACAATTTGGTGTTTTTTTACAATAACTTTCATGTGTTTAACTGAAAAGGAAATCCCTAGGGCATAAGTACAAACATCTCACCTACTGTAGATGTACATTTTTCTGTGGGGGATTAATTTACACTATGTACATGATCTCAAACTTTCTTTGGAAGTTTGTCACAGCATACTTGAAGTGCACTTGAGGTATACACTGGGAATCAAAGAAATTGGTTTTAATTTTCTACCCATGGATTGAAAAGATACTTTGATTCCATGGAATTATGACCCCATGGAAAAAAGTATGTTCACAGGACTTCATTTATAGAGAATTGAAAAAGTACTTGTACTCTGAACAGGTTTCAATTGGAAAAGATTATTGATACTTACTTGAATTATTTGAATAGGTGAAAATGTTGCCTACACCAGCCAAGTTCCATTACATTTTCAACTTGCGAGATCTGTCTAGAATTTGGGAAGGAATGCTGAAAATCAAAGAGGAGGAATGTGAAGACCAGTTGATGGTGTTAGGACTCTTTAAACATGAATGTACAAGGGTCATTGCAGACAGGTATTTGGAGACATGATTATGGCAATATTAATCAAAAGTGTCCTGTGTAGATTTAAGTCCATCAGAATAAAAAATATATGAGAGCTAGATTTCTTTTGACAGCATCATTTTATGTTTGTTATTTGAACAATTATATTAAGATTCATAAATGATGGTTGTGTAAGCTACAGTTTTTTTAAGAACACCTGCTACAAAAAAGGATTGGTATATATTTTTTCACTTGGTTGTAAGTGATGCATGTATCAGTTTTCTGATATATTAGGACATTATATACTTAAGACATTCAATTTCTTCCTATTTGTTATGCCTTTTATTTAAATCTATATACACATTTTTTATCATGTTATATATGACACCGTTGAGAAACTTTGAATGAAAAATGAAATTTTATACAGATAAATGTATTCATTTTACTTTATTGTATAAACATAGATTTTAAAAGTTGATATTCTCAAGATTTTTGAATAAAAAGTGTTTCTTTCACAAGTCCTTAAGGCAATTATAGATTGAGTATTTGGTGGATGGTAATTAAGTTTTATCAATTTCAGATTTACAAATGCCGATGATAAAGCATGGTTTGAGAAGAGTTTGAATGTTGTCATTCATGATCACATAGATGGATCACTTGTTGACAAGTGTCATGCAGAACCATACTTTGTGGATTTTCTTCGTGATGCTCCAGAACCCACAGGAGAAGAAAGTGAGGATGCTGCACTGGAAGCCCCCAAAATATATGAACAGGTAAAAGTATACTGTACCTAACCATAACAGTGAGTGGCCTGAAATGCTGCTCCTACCGCAAGTTCTGAAAGCAATGCTGTGCAGTTTCATCACCGACCAGTGTAAATCGTGATTCATTCAATTTTTATCACAGTGTGGTACCACCAAGTAGAACTCTATAGGAGAATACATGTAAATCCAGGTAAATATTTGCAACCGTTCGATGTTAAGTGCTTACCGTGACCATTTAAAAATCACATAAAGGAAATATATATAAAAAAAAAAGGAGATGACACAATACCTTGTAGTAAAATTCAATCTCAGAAAAGCAACATGGGGTAGTCACAGAAAAGCAGACAGATTTGGAAAATAAAATCACGGTAAAAGCAGGTCAGCCATTAAGAGATAGTTCAGACTTAGTTTTGATTATAGTGACAATGCAGAATGTACTTGCATAACATCTCTTCTGAAAGTTTTGAAAATGTATCTCATACTTCAGGCATGTTTAATGGGTTTCTTAATGGTGGGGGGGCTGTTAAAATTGAAAAAAAAGTATGTATAGTGTTTTGATCAAATATAAACATAATATTACTGCATGTAACATCTTTATAATCTTGTTTATTTGAGAAGAGCTAACAATGAAATATGTCAAGAATTTTTTTTATACAATACTTTCTATTTCCATTATTGGAGCTCTTCAAATTAGAGGCGCGTTTGGTCTCTGACTGGGACAACAATGACGTAGCGGAGAATACAAAACATGCTGATCTCCATCCAATTTTGAATGTTAAATGAATTTGTTATTCCAGTTAAAGACTACAAGAACTAATAGGCATATGTGAGATTGCAAAAGCCCAGAATTTATCATCCATTGATAAACATAACGACGTTTCTGAGGCATGTACATTGTATTCCGAGATTACCGTCAACACTAAGTCTTGTCAACAACTTCCCGTGATGAAAAAATTGACATTGTTGTTTCTTCTTCTTATGCATGTTAAGTCCACAACAATACAGTGTCTCATTTGCATGTTTGTTACGCGTTTTTTCATCGACATTCAACATACTGTTTACATGTTGTTACGAATGTCCCTGAAATCCTGCGAGATTTGTACATTTTCCGACTTTTTCACAAAAGAGCACACTAAGAACTATAACTCTTCCATGGTGGAAATAGAACGTATTAACCAACTAATGGTTGGAATGTGTGGTTAACAGATTGGCAATTCTGTATCCAGCTGCCATCCCTATATACATACATACCGTCATGAACAATGTATTCATATTCGACATACAACACAGTTGAGACATAGGTGTATTACAAAAGCTATGAATTGTAATACAAAGTAGCTCCACAGACAATCGAATTTGTAATAGCTTATTATTATACTTTGAGTATGTGACTGTGTTATTTTCAGAGCACTGAGATATATGACTGTATGTTATATACCGGTATATATTTCAATGAGAACTTTATTAAATGAAATATTTAAATGAAAATATGAAAGTTTTAAGTTCTTAAGTACAAAATGAAGTAAATAGCACACTGGACTGTCAGAGGCCAACCCCCCCCCCCCCCCCTTTTTAGTGTGTATGCTAGGTGTGTAGTCCTGATATTATTCACTAAAGTCACAAGGAATAATGAAACTTTTGAGCTGATTGGCATTAGAAAGGGTGCCAAGAAGGCTTAGTATATATTTCAGATGAATGATACGATCTTTTTCCAATATGTTGACCAATTCTATTTTTTTTTTTCCTTCACAGATCTCCTCTTATGATTCATTGAATGACAAGCTGTTGACTTACATGGAACAGTACAATGAGTTAGTCCGGGGTGCTCATATGGATCTTGTTTTCTTCAAGGATGCCATGGTGCATCTTATCAAGGTTAGTGATGTCACCAAATTTTTGTAATGAAGCTTTTAAAACCATTAATTATTTAAAGTTAACTGTGCTTAGGTCTCTGCTTCCCTCAGCGTAAGGGAAATGGCCAAAAATATTACTCATGGTCACCAAGCAGAGCATCTAAACTCTTGGCATGATGAAAATGAACAAGTCCTTTTCCGAAATCTTGAAATTCATAACTAGGATGAAGGGTTTAGACCATAGGGTAGGGCAAAATTGATATCTTGTGATATATATTGGAAATGATATTTATCTTAGAAAGTCATCTTCACTGCTTGACAGCAAACAGTCAAACTGTTAGAATGTTTATAATGAACATTTAGCCTTCTACCAAAATTGTAAAATTCATGTCCCCTTGACTTTGGATTCTAGCCCCCTGGGTCCAGATTTGAGGCTCTAGGGTGGGGCTAAGTTGGTTGTATATATACTAAAAACTGAACAGAGTATCTTTGAAAATCTTTATTATTTGTTAAACATTTAGCAAGAAGTCTGTACCCTTTACCAAATTTTGTAAATTGTGTGTTTCAAAGGGTAAAGCCTAGCAAATAACTTTATTAGCTCCCCTTAGCTAAATTATATTCCTAGGGAGGCTTAAGTTTTCATTAACTGTTAGGCTGGTCCAGTGGGTCAGTGGTGCAAAAAATTTGGTAAGGATGTATTTCATTCCCTACGTTTATTTTAAGATTTTTGATTTTTTTTTTTTTTTTTTTTTTTTTTTTTTTTTTTTTTTGGATAACAGATATCCAGAATTATTGGTACCCCCCGAGGAAATGCTCTGCTGGTGGGAGTTGGAGGATCAGGAAAACAATCGCTTACTCGTCTAGCCTCATTCATCGCAGGCTACAGAATATTTCAGATAACACTCTCAAGGTAAGCAAAAAGTGACTGTAACTACACCAGCAGAAGATCAAAATGTGCCTTTGAATACAAAATTCTGAATAGATGCCCCCATAAAATACCTCTCATTACAAGGTACCAAATCTTTATTTAATATAATGTATCAGAAGCACTATAAAATTGTTCAACAAATGTCTCTCAAGACAAAAAATGATAGGTATCCATGCATCTATAAGTGGCATACTTTTGTATGTGTTTGGATGTTTTGTGAGAAAATTTTGCCACAAAGAATGCTTTTTTTTCTTGAGTAGTTTGTGAAATAATGCACAATGACACTTAATAATCAACAGGACATACAATGTTGGCAATTTAATGGATGATTTGAAGTTCATGTATCGTGTTGCTGGATGTGAAGGCAAAGGAATCACATTTATTTTTACTGACAATGAAATCAAAGATGAAGCATTTCTGGAGTACTTGAACAATGTTTTAAGTTCAGGAGAGGTAAGTATCATTACATAGATAAGGGCCCCACTTTGAGGGTGCCTCATTGTATGTGTCTGTTGTTCTATGTCATGTTACTTTTAGGGATTATTTTTTTTCTCCCTTCTGGCCTAATCAGGTTAATACTTCACTGACATTTGGCCAGGGTCACAAAGTCCTTTTTGTATATTGTATGACAGGATGCACTTTACTTTCCTGATGATATTGCTGACAGTTCTGTAGCTTTTGCAGTGAACATAACTCCTATTGATTTTGAGGTCAAAAAGTCCTAGGCCAACATCCAAAAATTATGTATTGCATAAAATGGTTCCCAGATGGCAACTTTATTTCTCTTTGAGCTTTTACAATGAAACTTATGGCAATGGCCCAATCTTTCAACTTATCAAAGATTTCATTTCTAGATTCACTTCAATACTGTCTATAACTAAAACTTGTATATAGTTATATTTTGTTTCTGGATAAAATCTCGAATAAAATTATGCCCTTAAATGGGAGACATAAGTTCCATAGATTAGCTTGTATTTGTTGATGTTTGACAGTTACATACTGGGTATAACAAAGCATTTATTTACTGGATTTTCGGACAGAATGTGCTTGCCAAACACTCTAGCCAAACTGTTGCATTTAGATTTATGGTTGGTTCTTGAGACTAACAGAATACATGTTGCCCTCCCCTCAAACCCAGTCAAAAAATGTGTATTATAAACTAAATAATTTTACTTAATCTGAAGTTAATCGTATGTCAGAGTTATTAGTAGTGAATGATTAAAAATGAAAAGAAAATCAATAAAGCTAAAAGTATACATATATATATATATATGCAGGTTTCAAATTTGTTTGCCAAAGATGAACTGGATGAAATCACACAGGAATTGATTGCAGTCATGAAAAAAGAGTTGCCAAGATGTCCTCCAACATTTGAAAACTTGTATGACTACTTCATCTCTCGGGCAAGGAAAAATTTGCATACAGTCCTTTGCTTCTCTCCAGTAAGTCTTTTAAATCAATAGGTGAAATTTACATGTACTGTATGTGTACTTAAAAAGTGGGCTTCATATTTTAGCGGCTTTGGCACTGACAACGATGCACTAATTCATGAATACCACTAAGAAATCATTTATAAATACAATATACAGCACGGACATGTATAGCGCAAATTCATGATTTCGCCAACAACTCCATTCCCAGTGATTGTGCTAAATTTTGAATACGCCGATTTAGGTACACGTACAGTATATTAAACAACGGGAAGGATCATTTCAAGACAAATGTGTTTTATCAGCTACCATGTCTACTTTACATGTACTTTAAAAATAAAAGAATTTTAGAGTTTGTAAAATATTCTCATCTCATTTACTTTGCCAAGGTTTAACTACCTTTTAATACATTCCATCAGCTTATGTGTCTATACCTCTATCTATGTACACAATTTTACAATCTCTGGAGTAAATACATTTATTTTTTAGCTTACCTAAGCTGAAAGCTCAAGTGAGCTTTTCTGATCACCCATTGTCCAGTATCCATCTGCCTGTCTGTGAACTTTACAAAATTTTTTACTTCTTCTCAAGAACCACACGGCCAGTTTTAACACATCTTTGGGTAAAGGCGATTCAAAATTTTTCAAATGAAGGGTCAAGCCCCATTCTAAGAAGAGATAATAAAGGAAAGACAAATGTAGGATATGGTCATTAAAAATCTTTTTTATCTTGAACCACTATGCCAGAAGAGATGAAACACTTGTATGTGTAAGCTGCCTGACGTGTAGATTCGAAATTTCTAAAGTTTTTAAAAAGATTTTTGTTTTTCAAAAAAACAGGACTGCAAAGGTCGAAATCGTATGCAGTCATCATAAATCTAACAGAAGTCAGAGAAAGGGAGTTTGGTTTCAGTATTGCATAAAGGAATTCTATAAAGGTCTTCCCAAGAGCAAGGTTTTAGTTTGTTGTTTGAAGTTGTTATGAAAATATTCTCATGTAGTGTACATTCATCTGGGTCTTTGGACTTAGCAGAAAATACAAAAAATAATGACTGAGGTTAAGATTAAATTGTAGATTATCTTATGTAACCAATGGGCAAATGTCAAACTGCACAATGGGGGTTTAATTTGTAAATATCTTCTTGACAATTGCTTCTTGTTGGCATATGTGTGTTTTTTTTTCAGTTGCTATATACCTTCAAAGTAGCTATTGAACTTACTAAGAGGTCAAGTGTTCAGTTGCCAGTATTTACAACACATTCTATAGTCAATGTTAGATATTCATATTGAATAAAAAAACTTTCTTTCAGGTTGGAGAAAAGTTTCGAACAAGGGCATTAAAATTCCCAGGACTTATATCTGGTTGCACCATGGATTGGTTTAGTCGATGGCCAAAAGATGCTTTGATTGCTGTGTCTGGACATTTTCTTAACAATTATCATATTGTCTGCAGCAGAGAAATCAAGGAACAGGTTGTCAATACGATGGGAGTTGTCCATGATAATGTAGCATCTGTTTGTATTGAATATTTTCAAAGGTGAGTGTTATTCATGGATCCCCCTCCCCTCGCAAACAAATAAACAAAAAAAGTTGGGGAGTATACAGTCGGATGTTACTCAAACTTATTTTGGCAAGTTCGAAGTCAGCGGTAGAAAAAGTGTTTAATTTGTTATATCAAGCTTATAATTTTCTAATAGGGAAAAACATTGGAAATCCATACTAATCACATATATTACTTTTGTTCTGAAGGTGTGTCACGACCTTTATCTAATATCATTGAAGTTCAAGGTAACTGGCAGAAAAAGTATAAAATTTGTGCCCAGGTCCCTCTTCTCTAACTGATAAATAACAGGAGTTCCAACTTCAAACATAGATTATTTGTGAGCTATGTTTTAACCAATTTAAAGTCACTTTGGCAAGTTACTTTTAAAAAAAGAATTGCAGGGGGAGGGGGGTGTTATTATTTTATGAGCACAGTACCTCTAGTGAGTTTAGAAGAAACTGTTCATAAGTTTGAATATGAATCTATTGAGCTATCAGATAATCAATCTTTGACCATGCAAAGAAGGAGTAAATTTTTTAGACTGCATATTCCTATACAAATGTACCTTGGGCAGGGTATTCATGTCCCATGGACATATTTCTAGTTTGCATAAACTTTTATAGGAGCAGATTAGTAGTATGGTTTTTACTAATGTATTCTTGCTCAGAAATCAAGAGTTTGAACCATGGTAAATATTTGTTGTTGATAGATCTTACCACAGGGGAGTGTGTATGCTTTTTGATTTAAATTAACTGACCAAACTACAAAGACTTTATTTTCAGATTTCGTCGACAAACTCATGTGACACCAAAATCTTATTTATCATTTTTGGATGGATACAAAAACCTTTATGGGAAGAAGCATTCTGAAATAAATGAAATGGCAAGCAGGATGAATACTGGTTTAGAAAAACTCATTGAAGCAAGTGCATCAGTGGACCAGTTATCAAAAGAACTGGCTGTAAAGGAAAAGGAATTAGCTGTTGCAAATATAAAAGCTGACAAAGTAAGTTCTGACAAAATCCCAAAGCGTATGCATGTACCCAGGGTAAAAAAGAATGATAAGAGCTAGGGATCTTATATGAAAAATTCTTCTTTGGTACCAGGTTTTGGCCGAGGTAACTGTTAGTGCTACTGCAGCAGAAAAAGTAAAAAGTGAAGTGCAGAAAGTGAAGGACAGAGCCCAGAAGATTGTTGATGAAATTGAGGAGGATAAAAAAATAGCTGAAGAAAAACTTGAAGCAGCCAAACCTGCTCTCCAGGAAGCTGAAGATGCTTTAAAGGTAATGGTATTATGAATATCTTGTTTTCTCCTTCCTTTGACAGAAGATTAGGTTTACTTGAAGGAAAAAAAAACGTACTGTGTCTGTACTTGTTATACCCCGCACTTGAGGGGGTATATAGTGATGGGGTGTCCGTTCATTACTCTTGGGGATAGCCCAATATCCACAATTCCTCTTACACCACTGAATGTAGTTTAATGAATCTTTCACAAAACTATAATACATCATGGCATTGTGCATCTCCTTTTTACATTTTGATTAGACACATAGCAAAACATGGACACTGCTTTTCTATCTATAATATTGGGGGTACCCATCTGTCATTTGCAACTCCTCTCGTACCACAGAATAAAATTTAATGAGACTATCACAGAATCTTTGTTACATAGTGCCATTGTGCAACTCTTATTTACATTTTGATCAGACAGATATTTGGAGTTTCCTATAACAAACCATGCACTTTACCATTCTTGGTAAAGTTTACTTGTATTGTTGGACAGGTATTTGGGGTTTCCCATAGCATAACATGCACTTTGTCATTCTACTCAATTTGTTAAATATTTTTGGTATCATGATGCCTTATAGTCAAATTACTGTATTAAACAAAAAGTAGGTTGCAATGACCTGCTTCTTGAATTTACAGCTACAACATTGTTAAATATTTGACAAACTAAGAGACTAAAAATCATCAAACCTTGTCAAATGATACATGGTGGTGCCTTAGACCCCAGTAGATTTGCCAAATCAGAAGTAGGTCACAGTGATATTGTTGTGCAATTAATTGGAAAAGTGATTCTTGGCCCTGGACCTCTTGTATAATTATTTAAAAATTGCCATTCTAGGGATCCTATATAAGGGTTTTTATTATACTCAGGTGACCATTAAGGCTCTTAGACCTCTTGGTTTTTTTTTCTTGTAGTATGTCACAAACTGTTCAATATTTCAGACAATAAAACCAGCTGATATAGCAACAGTGAAGAAACTTGGTAAGCCCCCACATTTGATCATGAGGATTATGGACTGTGCCTTGATTCTGTTCCAAAAAAGACTAGATCCAGTTACACAGGACCCTGATCGACCATGTCCAAAACCATCATGGGGAGAGTCTCTTAAGGTATTTCATTCTTAGCTAAGATTTCATTACCACTAACTTGAGTACTTGTAATTGTTTGATATCGCTTTGTTCAAAGACAAGAGGAACCCAGCTTATATAGTAATGAGGTGTCCCTTATCCAGTCAACTGTCTGATTTTTTTCCCCTTAAAAATACTACTCCAACAGTATTTGGTTCAATTTGATTGAGTCTGGGCACAAAGTTCATTGAGATACATAATTCAATTCTATATTTATGCCCCGCCATGAATATGGCCAGGGCATATAGTGTTTGTCATCCAGGGTTCGACATTCACGCTCGACACCTCGTCATTTCCATCCCGGGATGTTTTTTGATGACCTGATTTTCAGTCTGGCTCGCCCAAATGATGACCTGGGACGAATTGGGAATATTCAATAATGATGTTTAATATTTTAAAATAAACTTCATAAGGCCTTGAAAACATTGTTTCCTGTAACCCGACCTACCCATTTAAATTGCAGCTGCGTGGATTTTTCTTTCTGCCAAATCTGTGTTCAATCAATCAGCTGATGCAATTTTTACCAAAAGTCTTAAATTAAGTTTTATTTGAGATATGAAATATGTCAACCTAGTCAAAAATCACCTTAAATATAAAGAGTAATAATCATCATTGTGACATCTAGCGTTTCCCCCCACAACTTTCTGATGATCGTTTTCTGCTGCTAGACAGCCATGTTGGGTGTTCACTGTAATATCACACCTGGTTAATTCAGTATAGGGATATTTGACCATATTTATTTATTAGGCCTTTATGGTAAATGAAAATGAATGTTTTAGACTAGAAACTTTATTATGTGTCAATATGTGAGATTGTACATTGACACATTAGCAAAAAAAAAAAAAAAAAAAAAAAAAAAACATCCCGACCTACCAACCCTTGATTTTTTTGGGAATATTGCAGGAATTAAACATATTTTTTAAAAGCCTAATTAGCATTCTAATTCTGCTTATAATATCTGTTGCTTGTTTTCTTTGTTTGATAAAATACTGGAAGACATCTTTTCACATTCCAAAAATGTCTGGTTTACATTTTACATGTATAATACAAAAGCACAACTTCTGTTATCATAACAAATTTTTAACAATTGCACATTTTTGTTTCATTTGATATTTTGTTCGGGCAACCTGAAATTCATTCGGGCAATCTGCGATCAGTACCAAGGTTGCCCAGATGGCGAGACCAAATTTTGATGAGTGTCGAACCCTGTGTCCTTTTTCCGTCCTTCCATCCTTCCATCGTGCTTTGCGTTTAGCTCAGTTCAAAGCTCAGTTTCAAAGAAACTCCAAGATATTTTTATCAAACTTCATGTGCTGATAGATATTGATGAGAGCTATGCAACTGCATCAAAATTTTTTGACCTTGACCTCACTTTTCTTGAATTAGTGTTTAGCTCAGTTTTAAAGAAACCATTCAAGATATTTTTATCAAACTTCATGTGCTGATAGATACTGATGAGAGCTACTTTTCTTGACCTTGACCTTTCCTTTGTCCTTGACCTCACTTCCTAAATAAGTGTTTAGCTCAATTTTAAAGATACCATTCAAGATAGTGTAATCAAACTTCATATGTTGTTACATACTGATGAGAGCTATTCAACTGCATCAACATTTTTTTTTCACCTTGACCTTTCCTTTGACCTTGACCTCACTTTTCTTGAATTAGTGTTTAGCTCAGTTTTAAAGAAACCATTCAAGATATTTTTATCAAACTTCATGTGCTGATAGATACTGATGAGAGCTATTCAACCAACATTTTTTTACCTTGACCTTTCCTTTGACTTTAAGTTTATTTATTTTAAATAAGTGTTTAGCTCAGTTTTAAATAGACCATTCAAAATATTTTTATCAAACTTAATATGCTGATACGTATTTGTGAGAACTATTCAAATGCATCAGAAATGTTTGACCTCGAACTTTCCTGTGACCTTGACCTCACTTTTCTTAAATTTGCATTTTGCTTAGTTTTAAAGAAACCATTTAAGATAAATTTATGTAAGCTTATGCACTAATACATAATTTGGTGAGAATTTATCATCGATGATTTCAATTTCAAAGAAACTAATCAAGATATTCATACACTAATACAAATTTTCGGGTTGAATTACTAATATACCCTTGGCGGGGCATTCATGTCCTATGGACATATTTCTAGTTTGGTTTTTGTTATTGACATTGTTGTCATGGGGTTACTAAAAGTAGATATTTTTGTGAAATTCTCTCAAAAACAAAAAAACAGCAACAGGTGACCTGCAGGCTCAACTACTCTAAGGCACATAATTCATAAAGAAAACAGTTTTGAATTTCAACAATAGTACAGGTATTTCTATCGTAACTAATTGTAGAATTTTTTTTCTTTCCTCATACAATTTTAGTCAGATTTTACCAAATAGAAGACATCTATATTGTGTGATTTTATATTTGCTTTGTCCATCAAGTTGAAATGGTAAATGTATCAAGGATGCTTGCTGAATGTATAAACCATTTCAACAAATTGCATGAAAAAAATATGAAATTGCCTAATTATTATACATTCAGTTTATCTCGTACCAGGTTCAACACTAACAGTAGTCTGGTAGCACTAGGCTAGTAAATTTTTCTGTGGACTAGTAGCTATTTATATATATAGAATATCATTTTGAAGTAGTCTAGTGGACCCAGATCTCCAACAGTGGGAAGGGACAAGCCCTTAATCGCTTTGTGACTTGAATGACAGCCTTTGACTGCCAGACTTGGTGACAATCAGGAAGACTTGTTATTGATAAAAGTTATTGGACTACTGTGGAAGTGTCAAATCCTGCATACCATTTTATTTTTATCAAACGTTTTAGACAGCTACTCTATAACACCTCAAGATGGATTACTTTCTGCCTGACTTGATGCTAAAGGCATATCTATGCATTTTTTTTTTTACTTCAAGGCAAAATTGAATGTTTTCCAAATCTTGATTATAACAGAGAAATATAAGGAGGTTGACCTTTAGGAATCACCTTTTCAGGAAATTTTTTTTGCAAAATTTTTTGGGTGTTTCTAGGCATTTTAGACCATTTTAAGGCATTTTAGGGCCACTTTTTTTTTTTTTTTGATTTTGGGGGCCTAGGTGTCAATTCTCCGAATTCTCCGAAAATTCTCCGAAAATTCTCCGAAAGTACGCGTTAATAACTTTTTAACCGGTAATCAGATTTTATTATTTTTGGTGTCAAAATAAAGGTTAAAGTGTCTTATTTTAGTGTGCAAAATTTCATTAAAATCGATCAACATTTAATACCCATTCTCCATCATTCTCCAACCCCACCCCCTTATTTGTTTGAAAAATTTTAATTTATTTTCCCCATAACTTTCACATTAATATATCTACACCAAATTTTTTTACGTATTCTTGTAGATCTTGACACGCTTGAAACATAGATATCAAGTTTTTGAAAATCGACCCATAAATAAGGGAGTTATGGGCGCCGGAAGTTCAGATTTTTGAGAAAATGGCGGACCGGAAGAAATTTTCCGAAATTTTTTAATATAAAATGCCTATAACTTTTTTATTTTTTATGATATAATTATAAATTTGGTATCAAAATATTGGTAAATTATTGCTCGAAGCAATCATGTAAAAAAAATAATAATTTTTGAACTGGAAGTATGCATTCTCCATCATTCTCCATCCCCACCCCCTTCCGGTTTTCATTTTTTTTAACTTCTAATGGTAATATCTTTTGAATTTGAACATTTAAATATTAAAACTTGATTAATATTGATAGATATTGATGAGATCTTCACAATGATACCAAGAATTAATATTTCGGTCAATAAATAAAGGCCTTATTAAACCGGAAATACCGAGAAATCAGAAAATCGGAGATAATCACGAAACTAAATATCATGTAACTTGGACTGTTTTAAAGATATTAATATATATTTGGTGTCAAAATATTAGCAATTTTATGTTCTTTAATTTAAAACCCCAGAAAGTAAAGTATAGCAAGTAAAACTAATTATTTAAGATAATAATTACATTTCAATGAAAATAATTATTTAAAACACGGGGGTGGGGTACGTATTTCGCTTCCTGAGCTTTTAAAGATGCCGATATATACACGAATTTTTTTTCAAAATGTTGCTGAATAATTGTACTACATGATAAAAACATATTTCGAAGGTTTTCAAAGCAATCCGCGACGAGAAATAACGTTTTAATTAATTATTATTGGAATTTCGCAAAAGCGCGCCCTGGCGGATGGGTAGGGGGTTCGGTTTTTCGCCTCTAGGTCCTATACGGATTAAGATAGAGACTTGGCTTTAATTTTATTAAAAAGAGCATTAAATTTCAAGCAGGATTAAATATTTTAATTGTCTATAAAAGTACCATACAAGAACGGAGATGCGATAAATATTTCCCTTTTTTAAAGAAAAATTTTCTTTTCTTTAGGGGAAATAATATATAATGAGTAATGATTAATTGTATATTTTAATTTTTTGTTTATTATTCTTTTTCTTTTTTTAATTTATTTTATTCGGTATTCATTAGAAAAATTCCTATACGTTTCAAATTTACCTGTGCGAAGATCAAAGAATAACGACCTGTCAATCATACGAGGGGAACAAAAGGTGTGAAATTTGATTGACAGGTTCAGTAGAGCCTAAGTACAGCTAAGGTATGTTACCTGTACTGTAGGGGTGTCATCAGCCAATTAAATTTACCTGTTCAAAGATCAAAAGCTTGCGACCTGTCAATCAAAAAGGGGGGAACAAAGGTGTGAAATTTGATTGACAGATCAGTTTAGCATATTAAAATTTTACGCTTAGATATGTTTTATTAATGCAAAAGATTTGAAATATAAATAAGTAGTCATTATAAAATTTATAATTGAAAAGACGAATTTATACATTAATTAATCTAGAGAATGGAAATCTATATATTAATTAATTAATTAATTAGATAATACATTTATTTATTATGCTAAATATTTTATAAAGTCGTTAGGGAAA